CTGCCCAGGCTGGGCCCCAGCCGTGCCGGCGCTCAGGCACCGCTGGCCGAATCCTTCCCCCTGGGTCAGGCACAGAGCAGGAGTTTGCAGGTCTGGGCAAGAGTTAAACCCATTCCCGAACACCTTTGCTGCCGCTGCCGTGGTGGGAAGGGTGCCCAGGATTAACCCCGGACCCACGGGTGTCTGGAGGAAGAAACACGGAGCCTGGGCAGCTTCTCACCCCACTCTTGAAACTGAGAGAGAAGCTCAACGTGAAATTAAATTAAACTAAAAAAGAAAAAATATCCCTTGCTTTCACCACGTTCTGCCCCAAATCCACAGCCACGCTGCTGCCTCGCTGAGCTGCTCAAGCACTGCGGGTTAAATGAAGCGTTAAAGAGCTATAGGAGCTATAGGAGCCCCAGAGGCTCCGGGACGTGGGACCCAAGTGCTCCTATAACCCTCGTGGCTCGGTGCGATGGCTGTTGCTTATTGCATAGAGGTGCAGGCTGGCTTCAAACCCAGGGCAAAAGAGGTGTCAGAAAGCCCAAGTCAGCTCTCTCGGCTAAATTTAACAACAACGGGTGTGAAAACTGATTAAAATCACCGCTGGGTCACAGGGGTATTGGCTTTGTTGAGGGGTGAGAAGAAGAAAGTGGCAGCATGGGAAGGATCAGTAATTTAACACATACTCCAAAATCAAATGTTTTAATGCCCTGAGCCAAAAAACTAATTTCCCGTAAAATGGAAACCTTCTTCCCCTCCATCAATTTATCACACCTCACCCTATTTGCACAAACTTACCAGGATTTCCCAAACTATTCTGATGATAACCTTCAGAAAAAGTCTTTGAAACCTGCAGCCGCTGCACTGCACCACAGGGACAGGGAAGGTCCTTTGCACTGGTAAATGAAGAAAAATTGGACTTAAGAAGAGGCCAATTTTCTCCCCGAGCAAGGGTCACACAGGGGATGAAACGCAGAGCTGGAGCTCCCCCGAGACAGGGAATTGGGGCAATAAAGGACAAAGGCAGGCTGAGAAGTTGCGCAAGAACATGGTCTGGGCAGCAGATGATGAACTCGGAGGGGTGGGACGCGACGCAGGTGAGGACAGTCCTAGCTTTGCTCGCCCAGCGCTGGGCTCCAGGCTGAGCCTTCCTTCTCGGGAGGGAGAGCTTGGGACTGGGGAAAGTCTCCATGGAAACACGAGCTCGGTGTTTGCTCTTGTTTTTCTAGCGGTTCTCAATGAACCAGAAAACATCGCGGCACTCGGTATTGCCGGTGTATCCCCACCTCGACTGCTGGGTGCAGCTCCCCAGTCGCCTCCCAGCGCCTTTCCTCCCCCCATCCCAGTGAAGAGGAGGATGAGGATAGAAACAGCTTCTGCACAACCATCAACTCCGTGGATCCCCAAGCTCAGCCCACAAAGAGAGCGGGAGGGAGGGCAGGACGAAAGCAGCAGAGGAAACGACGAGTGGAAGATGAGAGGTACCAGGGAAAGTCATTCCCTGCCCCTCTCTGCAAGAGCTGCAGCGCTTAAAATGACCAAGAGACACGGTGGTTGTTCACCTCCAACTTACCGCCAGAGGATGGAGGCTGTGGGTGCTACGAGTTCGTAGGGGCGCTGAAAAGGTTTAGACGTGCTCAAAGAGGGGCAGAGGGGCAATGCAAAGAGCCAAAGAGCCAAAACCCCAGACCCCAGGAGGAGGGATGGCAATAGTGGGAAGCAGCGGTAGATAGGTGGTGGCTCTGCTCTTCGTTTTCCGTGTGTATCTGCTGCTCAGAGCCCTCGGCCGAGGCGGGAAGGCTGCTCTTAACTATAAAAAGGCAAAAAGTTGTGGGGGTGGCACTCCACTGAAGGTGTTCAAAGTAAACACAAAGCCAGATTCCAAAGTTCTGTATTTTTCAAAATAAAGATCACACGTTGTTTAGAGACAATCTACACAAGAGTTACAAAAAATAGTCGCCCAGGCATAAGCATACACAGGTTTGTTAATTATACACATATGGTTACAAGTGTGCTTGCAAAAAAGTTCATTGGAAATATACACAAGGCTCTGTAAATGTACACCGTGTAGTGTTACAATTCTATATTCAAACAAGGAAAATTGACAGTATGTTACATTCACTTACAAGTAGACAAAATGCAAAATACAGTTCATCTTCTGTACAAAAAGGGAAGGTGATTCACACTTTACAAGGTGAAAAGGGACTCTGATTGTAAGGAAAACTAGGGGATTCTGTACTTTTGCACTTTTTGTTTCTTACTGTCACAAAATAAGCAAAACATTACTTTTTAAGATTCAAAAAAACACTATTTTGAACTGAATCATTTTTGTATAACATTTAGAAAGGATCGCTACTGTTCAACTAGGTGACAAATAAAACCAAGCATTTATTTTTCTTTTTAAACATTAACTAGGCTGTATAAAGAGAACATTTCCTTCAAAAGAAAAAATTTACTTCTGGTTGAAATTACAATTTACAATATACAACACTATATGCTACGACCATAAAAGGTGTGAATATACACTGAAATGCACAGGTTTTGCTAATTCTTTTTTCTTACCAAAAAACGGGTTTATGTCGATTCAAACTTCTCCACATTTACATTACAGAGGTTTACAAATGTACAATTGTACAGTCAGAAGTATGTTCCACTACTAGGGTACATTATAGATACAGATCAGACATCAAAACAAGAAAATACTACAAATTTTTATATATGTAAAGTCTACACCAAGTATACACTATATATTTATAGAAGCAAGACCAAAGCCGAGTTGGATTTTTTTTTTCCTCATGCTAAATAATCAAATTGTGTCTCTCAATGTTAACAGAACAAACTGAGTAGGCAGTAAACAAGTACACCCGCCCCCCACCCCCTCGCTTTAAAAACTTTCTGGGTGTGTACGTTTTCTTCCCAAAAACGACAGCTAAGCTACCTCCTTTAGCATGTTATACTCAAAAAAAAAAAAAAGCAATTAAAAAGTTTCAAAAACTTAATTCTTTTTTTAAACTGAAGCTTTAGCAAGTTGAATTTTTTTTTATTTATAAACAGCGTTAAATGCGTCATTTGTGCCATTTAACTAAAATTCAAACTTCTTGCTGACTTTTGACTAAAAGGAGAAAAAACAGGTATTTGCAAAAAAGTTGCCTGCAAGGCAGATGAATTAAAAACGGGTTTTTTTGTTTGTTTTCTTCAAACCAACCACCCTGAAAGTTTCCACATTTGGAATATAGATACAACAGTGAACAAAAATGTGGCCTTCCATGTACATTTGATACCTATGTACAAGTATTCTATACACCAGTAAAACAGCAGGGCAATTAGTTAATTAAAAAAAATAATTAGTACATGTTATGCATAATAAAATTAAAGAAATTTACAAAGGCTTTTCTTTTTTCTTTTTTTAGCAGTTTAGCAACCATAAAATACGTTCGAACTGTATATTGGAATATCGTCGGTTGCTGGTTGTAGATGCCGGATGGCCAGTGAGCTCCTCCCCAGTTCGCTGCTTCAAATGATACCGTTCGGTGGTCCACAAATGGGCCCTAGATCCACCCCGTTCTTCATGTAGTATTTCTCCAGCTTGGCCAAAATGTGTTTGCCGTAGGTGTATTTACGCAGGGTAGCGATGTGAGGCCGGATCTAGGAGATAAAAGAAGAGCGAGTGAAGCTTAGGAACTGGAATTACGACGAGCTCCAGGTACCGTACGGTCAGAGTGCCAGCCACCAGCAGAAGACCAGAAGACCACAAAAATGCCTGAAATATTAAAGTGCCATTTGCTGTAATCACCTCAATTACTGTGAATCAAGTTAATGTTCCACAACTCGCTGATGTTATTTTTAGGAGGAACTTCTGGTCAAGCAGGTGGCATCGTCTTGAGCCGTATTACTGGAATCCAGTTGTATCCCAGCGTGTGGATGAATACAAGGCTTTGTCCCAAGAGAGGAGCCTGGAAAGACAACCCCTGGGTGCTCGAGCTTCCCAAGGGTGCCCTGACACCCTGCCCCCAGCCCGGGGGCAAGCACACTAAGGCAGAAAAGGCATCAAAGGGTCTAGTGGGGCTGAGCAGCTTTTCCTGAACACGAGCAGGGTCTTCTGCCTCCTTCCAGGCTACAGACTAAACTTCAAAAACCTGCTAAAAGCCTGGAAGAGTTGCTGGTATGAATTTCAGCAGCCTATTTGAAAGAGCTAGTGGGAGAGGCATGCAGTGTTCTTGGGCTAAACAGCAGTTTAATTTCTGAACCTGACAATTACAATATTTATTTTAAGCAGAGGTCTGTGGAAGCAAATTTCCCCCGCTCACACTACTTCACAGTAAAAGTCACTTCCAACGCCACTCTAATGGCTGTAGCCAGAGTAAAACCACCTTTACTGCCAGAGCACCCAAGCAAGGAAAGCTGTTTTTGTTGTAGTAACATCATTATGATGCTGAAGTTCTCTTGGACAGTTTCAGAGGAAGGAGACATAAGAGCAATTCATTTTCATTACTAGATGAGAAATATCCCACACCACCAGCACGCTCCTTCAATAACACAATTACAATGGACTTTTTACTCTACGGTGGAAGCTGCAGACAGAACGAGAAAATAGCCAGAACATGATGTACAGCACTCCCTGCTCCTCGGGTAGATACATCACCGTGACTTGCCTGAGCCAGGACTGACTGTAAAACTCCCATGGGAAATCCATCCCAAATTCATCCTATTTCATCAGCTCAGCCTCTAACCGCTTAAATTCCTATTTCAGTTCAAGGACCCATCGTGTAATCATCATAAATTGATGCCTTGGCCCTCCCCACATCCCATTTCCAAGAAGGTCTGACTGCTGCTCTGAGGTTAAGGAGAGGAAAAGCTCCCCAGGTCCAACAGTTCCTTCTTCGTTCGTCTTCATTTCTAAGACTCTTTTTTTTTTACTGACAGAACTGACTGTTAAAATTACTTTTCAATATTTTTTTTTTAAATAAAAGTGCTGTCTTTAACAGTAACACAAACTGCTTGTTTGTACTAATAGCAATTTTCACAATCCAAAAGCAACAGTCAATACACTCAATTTTCCCAGGCTTTCATTCAGCTTGATAATGTAGCTGAAATCTTCATATTCAGTCAGTCCTATTTACCTGTCATCCCAGTTCTATTTTTGACAACCACACTGATAACCTAATTAGCATTTTATTCAAAAGACTTTGCTTGACAGGAAGAAGAACATGTCAGTAGAGATCATTCGTGTGTATATATATATTTTAATATATATATCTCCATATATAGATTAGCAAAGCTACAGGTCATTCTGCTACAGTTAAACTGCGTATATTCCTTGCCATACACTTTTATTTAATTATCTTTATCATTTCTTTTGGACTAGTACAGATTTTGGTTTAAACGAACTATCTGAATGATTCCTAAACCTAAGAATTAACCTCCCAGAAGATTATTTCAGCTGCATGTATGTTGTTTATATACTGATCAACTGCCTTGTTTAGGTAAAAATCAGCTCCCTTACATAGGTAATACCTACTTCTTCTTACAGAAAAATCACTCCGTCCGTTCTACTCAAGGATTCTTAAATACACTTGATTTCATTGGGATTTGAATACCTGACACTCTTCACAGTTCCTCTTAAAAATAAATAAACATGGAGTTTTCCAAGCCAGTGTTAGTCAGTATTTTATTTCGAGTAAGAGGTCTAGCTGTAGCTGGTATTTTTCACGAAGTAACAGACCCTAAAACACATGACTGAAGAAAATAATCTCAGTTCCATTACATATTTAAAAACATATTTTTTTCCATTCATTACAATTATAAGGACCCGCAAATGTGACCTTTAAAAGCAGGAAAATGAAGACATCACCTGATTTTGAGAGATTCCTGCCCTTGGGGCAGTAGGCATATAGCCTTGCGAGGTAGGACTAGCAGCAATGCATATTTAATTCCAAAACGTCTTCATTTTTGACAAATATTAAGTCTTGAAACTGTTACGCATTCAAACACTGCAGCATAATGGTAAACCGTGGAAGTCTCTCATCAAAACCGTATTCAAAACCGAGAAATAGAGAATTTGATTAATGGCTCCAGGCTCAGACGCTACAGCAACGCGCCCCGTTAGCGTGCTGTTACCAGCCAGCCTGACTGTCCTGACCGGGGCTGTAAAGCAGGGACGTGAAGTGACAAGGCAGCGCCCGCAGCCCTCAGAAACGCAACCAGCAGGTCCACGCTCGGGCTTCAGGCGTGTCGAGGTCTGGCTCGGCTCCACTGAGCGTGTAAAACTGCTCTCATCAGCGAACGCTGTTCTCAGTGAGGGCAAGTGTGTCGTCATCGCCAGACCTTCAGAGGGTCCCTCGCGAGGCACCAACCCGATGGTGCTGCTGCAGTAAGTCTGGGCGGTTTTTAGCAGCTTTTGCTATGCCACGAGTGCAGAACTAGGTTACTGGGTCAGAAGAGATTGCTAGAAGCAACCAGCTAGTTTTAAGTCCAAATGGCATCTCATTATTTCACATTTTCATATTTCAGCTACTACTGAAATACGCAACTTTGAAATACCTCCGTTGTTAGGAAATTCTAATGGCAAAAGCAATCATCTCAGCCTTATTTTCTCTCCGCAACCAGTGTAGCAGTGACAAGCCTTACATCCTTATCAATTGACGGCAGCTGCTTACCTTGTGCATGACAATCTTCCGCTGAGCTGGTTCTGCCACATCGATCATCTTCTGTACCACGTAGTTGGCGTACTGATCTTTCATCATGGTGTATAAGGCACTGTGAGGGCCATCATTCATAGTGCACACCTCATCGATCAACATGGCACGCTCTGTACGGGAGGCATGAGTAACGCATTTCTCCACCACGTTGCTGTAACAATAAAAGAAGGACAAATCTGTGAGCACGCAACTTCTCTGCTGGGCTTTTCATTCAATCCCAAACGGACCTCTTATGCTTCTAGCAAGGGCAGACCGTTTGTAAGAGACATATGTGCTGGCACAGAAGTTCAGCAATGTGAAACAGAAGACCAGTCCAAGGAACTTGGGATCTGAGTGGGAATTTGGGTAAAGGACCAGTTCAGGTTTTATGTCACCCAAATTTGTGCAACTCTACAATGATGCTGTATTTGAGATCAGCATCTGTTCTCATAGCGTGCCCATTAGAGAAGCAGATGAGTTGTTCTTTGTTTGGTTTTCTCAGTACTGGAGCTCGACGGGAACAGAGGTCCAAGGTTAGAACAACAGGGAAATGCTTATTCAGGAACGAAAGATCTTAGCAAAGGCAGAGAACTTCCAAAATTCCTGAATATATTAGATGATTAGTCTCTGCTCTCCAGAGAGCCAAGTTAAATAGGATAGATGAAAGGGGGCAGAGAGTTTTGCTAGTCTTATCTTCTGCATCCCTGACTGAATCATAAAATCACCAAGTGGTTTGCCACAACTAGTGCTCAGCTCAGGGGACATCCTACACTAATTAACGCTCCATCTGGAAGGAAGTTTAGAAAAAAAGAGCAAGGCAAGTCAGGGAGGCAGAACCTGAAATAACAACATTAAGACCATGCTCTTCTAGTTCTTGTTAATGTTACACTTCCCTTTTGTCCGTAAATATTAAAGCACTATTTTACTAATCATAAAAAAGTGAGAACATTGAGCCTTTGAAGAGCTCAGCCTTCATGTTCAAATGGCTAGAAACACACACAAAAGGAATTTACAAATGTGGGAAGTATTACTTCATCTTGACATCCACTAAGGTACCTGGATTTTGCTTCCACCCGTGTGTAGCTCTGTAGCATCTGGACTAACAACCTCAGACTGCTGCAGATTCCCTAACAGGGTATCATTATGCATGTGTCCCAAAAAGGACTGCAAGACTTAACATATAAAAAGCACAGATTCTTTTGTGAAAAGTGGGATGAAAAAGAATTGTTGCTACATTGATTTCCCAAGCTCCCTTGTGGCTTGACACAGCATCCCAGAGGCAGTGAAATGCTCTTATGGCATGTTACTATCCAAGGGATAGTGACCACTTAAAAAACACCAAAACAAAACAAAAAAAACCAAACACACACAAGAACTCTTGGTCAAGCTCAGGAAGTTGGATTAGAGCTACTCTTCCACATCTTCATCCTCCCTCATTACAAGTAAAACTTACCTTGCCAGTCACTCATCCCAGTTTACAAGCAGTTATAAATAGCATTCTGGTGTTAAGCAAAAAGTTATTTTCAGCTCCCTTCACCTACCTACACCCCACCCCTAACTCTTCTGCAACTCTAGCATGTGTCCATGCTCCCACGGGGCATGGAGACTTTAAGGAACAAATTCATACCTAGCAAATTTATGTTGACTCAACACGAGCACGTTGCCTCTAATTTCTGCTACAATCTTGCTCTTATCCTCAGGCCGACCATGTTCTAGTACATGCTGGATAACATAGTTCCCATACTGATCCTGTTTGAGAGACAGCAGAAGTGTGTGACAAAACGTGGACAGGAACCATTAACATCAAACTAGTTCCCAATGCGCATTAAGACTTACAAACTTGAACTAAACACTAATTAAAATATCTACTGTATAAATCATGTAAATACTTTCTACTTCTACAAAAATGTGCATTCTAGCGTTTTACCAGGAGATAAAATACTACATCTTTGTACCAATTATAAAACTCAAAACAATTTCCTTGAACATGAAATGTCAATACTCTGCTTATTTCAAGTTTCTTTGCTTTCTGCAGGTTCAAACATACCAAATCACACATCCTGGAGGGCTGCACCATGGTTCTAGCTATGGGAGACTGTCCTTACGCACGTTCATATTCTGAATGTGTGTATATTCAGATCACAAGATACATATTTTCCCCGTTCACAATACCAGAGGCATGACCCGTTGCCTCACCTCCATGCCCAACCTCTTCCCACCTTCCATGTGCTAAATAAATGAGCATACAGGGCAGGGTTCATTTGCTGTTATATCCATCGTGCCCCAACACCAGAATCCTAGAAAAACAAGTTCTCAGAAGGATTGCAAGGAAGAGGAAAGGCAGCCAGGAAGGGGGTGTGCATAAAACCAACACATTTTAAGAACCCCAATTACTTGGCATTTTCTTTTCCTAGAAGCAATCAGCTCTTCGCATCAACTCCTTTAAGATCTTACTTGCACTGTAACTTCTAGAGTGAAGCATTAGGACACGCACCCACTCAATACTTAAGATCCTTTTCAAAAAGGAAAGTAACTACAACTTTGATACCTGCTGGATGGTTGCACATAGCCAAAACAATTGGTGGTGATGCATTTCTTGTCTGCCATGTTCCTTCCCATTCCTCCTCAGGAACAGAGTCCCTGTGTTCAGACGACCCCAGCAGCACTACAGCTGCAGTCCCAAATAGGCTGCCAGGAGTTTTCCTAATACAAAGCAGTAACCGAGAAACATCTCACAGCACCCACATTCCCCCTTCCCACACTGACCTGAACAAGCTGCTCGGTGTGTTGGTGAAGTTCCTCCAAGATGGGAAGGGTCTGCTCAGGAAGACAGTGCTCAAGGATCCTCTGGATCACACGACAGCCATATGGATGTGTAGACAACGCAAAAACCTGCGTTCAACAAAGACAGGCAAGCACAGGCAGCAACACATCTGTTAGTCTTTGTCAATCCTAGAAACCTTTCGGAATTAAATGAACACATGGTGGTTTTTCCCAGGCATGGTAGGTAATGCCAGCTTGCAGCACTGCAGCTCCAGATAGCATAAACTGAAACTGGAAACATCTGTTCCCCACTGCCACAGGACTAACTGGGTGATCGCAGGCACATCACATCCCTACCTTCAGCTTCAGCCTCCCCATTCATGGAACAGGAAAAGAAACGGTAAAGCCTCTTGATTAATAAAAAGAGCACTAGGACAGCCAAGCATTATCAGAAGCTGTGTTAAAACACTGTTACAGAAGAATAAATCCAGCTACGTTTGCCAGCTACGTATTTTAAGCTGTGTAAGAAATGGTATGAACCAGAAAGGTTAAACATGCTCAGCAAAGGATTTTCCTCAACTATTTGGATTTGTTTAAAATCCTTAACTGCGCTTAGGAGAAGTGACAACAAAGAACCTTCTTTCTCTAATTTCTAACGGATTACCACATCTGTTGGTAAGAACATGACAGATTTTATTATTGCTGCACAGTTTTCTGTCTAAAGCACAAAGTCCTATTTGGTTTCTCAAAATTAACAAAAGTAGCAAATCTAAGCACTGAAGTTAAATTGACAGTCTACACATTTTTAATAACAATTGAGTAAACTGTGCAGGAAAACAGGACTTGAAGTGCAATTAACTGCAGAAAAACAGGCTTGAGGTGAGAAGTTTAATCTTTCATATGAAAGTTCAGATGAAACTGGGACAGCTGGTCAAAGAAATGTCAATGCCATCAAGCAAGTTCCCAGAGGTATTTCTGCCTCGCCCAACTCCCCAGTGGAAGGTCCAAAGTTAAATTCTAACCAGGAAATCTGCTGAGCAAGTTTCCAGCTAGAATCCTGCTTGTTTTGACATAGCCAAGCAAGTCCCCACTTTCACAGCTGTTCCAGGAACAGCCAAACTAATAAAGCCTGGTTCCTGCTATAATAACCCCGGGCTATCCTCACATCCCTGTGGCAAAACCCTCAATACTTCAAAGTCTCCCTCCAAAGCTAATTAAGTTGAAGTTGGAAACGCCCAAACCAGTGCTTTTGTAATAGAAGACAAGCTGACTACAGGCAGAATAAAGCCAGCTACACAATTAATATCCAGCACATCAATTCAGGAGAGAATACAAGAAAAAAAATGGGAGAATGAAGGACAAATAACTGCCCTTTTCTAGATGAAACTCATGTTTTTCTCCTGGTCCAAGACCCTTGGGAAACAGCAGTCCTCTAAGCCATCCTCACAGAGAGGATCATAATGAAACTTTACTATATCCATCACAAAACTCTGCTCACCACCTTTACTATGAGGATGGATTAATGAGACTTGCTTTCCCCTCCATCAGTCAAAAAATACTTGATGTTCCAGTAAAACAGATTTTTGCAAGGATGCTTCACTGTGATATACCTGCACAAAAATGGTAACAGAGACATGACCAAAGAGTTTCTAGGCTCCCTCATGTTGCTGCAGAAACCTTTCAACTGATGCTTGCTAAAATTCAAAATATTTGAACAAGTTACAGCCACTATCATGCTATTCAAAGCAACATAAAAGAATACAAAGAATAAGAGTCAGTATCTTGGTTAAGGACTCACCTGTCCCTTAAACGCATCAATGATAAACTGCAGGGACTGAGGCTGCACACACTCAATACACTTCTGCACCACATGATTACCATTCTGGTCTTTCACGCACTTCAGGACATGGCCATCCAACTCCCGTACCATCTCATTCTATTAGGAGGAGAGAAAGACAAACAGAAAGCACCACCAGGATTCACGGCTGATAAATGCAAAGTTTTCACTGCTAAACCTGGTCAAGAATACGAAAGGTATGAAGGATGCACTGATGTATTTCAAACTGGAAGTTTTCCAGTGGCCAAGTGCTGAGATGAAGCCTGCTGTGCTACAGAAACCACCAAGAAAAATACTATTAGGAAATGAAGATGAAGCACTCATTTCATTAAACATGAGTGTCCTCTTACAAGTTAAGTATCCAAATTTAAGAAATTTTACTTATACACAACTTTACTGTGCATCCCCCATTCCCTCCTCTGCTCCCCTGAAAGAGAAAGAAATCTAAAATGTCCAAACTTCACAAACTTTTCAGGTATCAGCTTCATATGTCACTAAAATGGGGTCAGCACTGGGATAAGAACTTGCTAGTATTTTACATAGGCAAGGTAATATTGTATGATAATTAAGGAAACCAAGAAGATAAGGTTTAGATATGACTAAAGTAACACACACAGAGGCTAAAAGATTCACAATCGGAAAACAGAGAATGATAGTTTTGGGGAATTTAATGACACTACAAAATTGGACGAGTTCAGGTCTGCAACTGACACAAAACCAGGCATTTCAGGAGTACAGCGTACTCTAAAACACCATTCTGGAAGAAGACAATCAGTAAATCCTCGGACCAGAAATGCCAGAGTTTGGGCCATCACCCACCGCCCTGCTGACAAGTGTGTCAGCAGCTTAGCCCAGGCTCGACCCAAAGGGAACGTGCATTCCTAAAGCCTGCTTCAGTTTTTTAATTTAATAACCTACATTGAGATTCTTGTATTACAATTGCTAACACCTTTATTAGCTAGCTTGCCTAGCGTATTTTTCATCTTAATTCATTGTTCATAAAACCCTAGAGGAATTCCTTTATTAATGAGCTTTGAGCGGGACTCTGGCTATCATCCACATCTCTCCAATGCCAGGCCTGGCTCGACAGGAACTAGGAGCTCCTCGTACATCTCACTGCAGGAAAGCAGAGTATTGACCCACATATCAAAGCAGTGATATCTCAGCGAATATTGAAGGCAAAACTCTGGCACTGCTTCCCTCAAGGGATTTAAAAGTATCTTCTAATTCACTATCATTCTCAGTTTCCCCTACATACTTCATCTGATTTCAGGGAGTTAACAGAGAACCAACACCATTACCAGTTAAGTGGAACACGGAGATAACAATGAGACCCAAGAACGGTGTCACAAATTTATCATGCACATAAAACGTAACAAACATGCCATAAACCAAACCAAAAGAACACCAGCCACAAGAGGAACAGAAGGTCGCAGTTCAGGTCACCAAACGGCAAGGAACGTTAAACATCAAGAAGAAAGTTAAAATTGAAACTTACAATTACCTGCTGGTCTGGGGGAATAAACTCAAGGGCCTTCTGGATCACCCTACAGCCGTACATCTGCAGAGCCAGGGACAGAACATGCCCACGGATACGTTCTGCCAAGGCTAACTTCTGTTCCAGACTGCCAAACTGGGAAGATGAAAACCAATCACTACAAGCACAAAAACCTCATGTGGCCAAGCGGCACAGCAGCCCTCCCACGCTGTCATGCCGAAGTGTTAAAGAAGAAACACTGTGCCTACTGAAAAGAAAGAAAATACCAACCACATCTCAATGGATGTGAACAGGCACAAGCCAGACGTCTGCTCTGTGTCTGTCACACATGCCTGACACACGTGAAACAAACTCCAGAGTCAAAGGTGCTGGAGCCACCAGGGTGACATGCGCCAGTTCACTAACCCTTGACAGGATTGCTATAAAATTACTGGATAAAAGAACCACCAAGGCTTGGTGGAGAACGAACACACCAGTTTCAAGAAGGAGAAACGGGCGTCTGCCCAACGTCCTGATATGAAAACACAACACTTTCACTGGAAAAGTGTCTTTTGTTCCTAAATACATGAGTACTGACAGCTCAGCACAGCATCCTTGAAAAGTCTTGTTGGACCTATGTCTCCTGGGTATGTTGCTGTTTATTCCTACACCTTTTGCATCTCAAAGCAAAGTGTTACTTTTCAGATGAATCTTTATGAGTCCCACACCTCCGTCACCCCAACAGGAATGATGCAGCAGCCTGTGGGGAGGAGATGACATCAGTGTTGATGTATCCATTGTTTTAGCCAAATAGCAGGGTTTCTACGAGCTTATCCAATACCTCAGGACAGCAGGCATCTGAGTAAGAGTTGCAGGGGAATGCAGACTTACTTCAAAGAACTTCTGGATGACATAATTTCCAAATACATCGACCATCAACTGATAAGCTGCCTGGAGGATCTCGTTGAACACAAGCTGACGTTCTGCTGGGGTAGCACGCTCCAGTTTCAGCTGAATAAACCTGAAAAATAGGGCTGGTGTGATGCCACTGGCACATATGCCCGCAATGCACTGATTAACACAAACCCATTCAAAAGCTTCATACACTGAGCTCTTACAAAACACAAATCTTTAAAACACAGTTGCCCTATGCAGCTATCTGAAACCTCGGGTGGTCGCAGCCACGAGGTCCGTGGCCACACGTCATTGTCGGTACCCCAAAAATCTCCTCATTCCAAGCAAAGCAGATCTCAATAGAATAATACAGCAAGGTCCTGCATCCAGGCAGCTCTTTAAAATGAGTTAAGCTATGCCAGTGGGACTAGGAAGGAAATTACGAAACAAGCAAGCTCCACTTTAGAGAAGGGACTCCTGCTATCAGCATTTGTACCCAAACAATCTTTAAAAAGAAGGGTCAGAATGTTACGCTACTTGGCTTTTCACACCTCCTTTTCCCTGTTCTGCCTCTTTGCTTCAGGACATGATACAAATTGCAAACGACGCTAACTCAAACTGCAGCTGTCCCAAAAATCTTCCTATAGCGCAAGGTTTTTAATCCCACCTGGATCCATGCTGATCTTGGGAGAATTCCATGATGTGACCAGCAATCTCCCTCAGCTGTAAATTAGGGTACCGGTTGTTGCGAAAGTCTTCAAGCAGCCTGCTTCGGCCAGAGGGCATCACATCAGACATCCCATAGCGCAAGCGAGTTTTTTTTGGGCCTGAAGAGCGTGGAGTCACTGCTGCCCCTGCGGTACTTGGCTTCAGCCCCCGGAGCAGCAGAGATGTAACGGCCACTCCCATTCGTGAGCCCTCCTGCAAGTCATCAAAACAAGGGTATTTCACAAGATGAAATAAAGTGGCTGAGGGATTAATTTACAACCTGTGCATGCCATTTTACTTCTAATTACTCCTTTTGCATCGAGATGGGTTTCCGACATGGTTCAACTAGGAGGTATTCTCAACTAAGCTAAGCGAGCTGCCCCCAAAATAATTTAGATGGGGACATGTTCAAGTGTAGTTCCTTAGCATGGCACCATTGTATTGTTAGGATCAGCTACAGACTCAGCATAGAACAGACTGTAACAATTCTGTTCCTCACTCTGTGTCAAAACTGTCTAAAACAGACAAATTGTCAATTCCACCACTTGCTAACTTGCTGTTTATAATTACCTTATCCTCCATCCTCAGTTTTTTTCCCACCTATCCTGCTGCCGTGCAAAGGACTGATTTAAAAGCAGCATACTGATGGTGGGGACAGAATTAAGAAAAAATTAGATAAGAAAAAGGCAGCAAGAAGCAAGTACAAAAATTTTGGATATAAAAACCAAATCACTATTAAATACGGGTAAATAACAATAAATTAAAAACAACAAATAAATTCTTCAAAAAATCCTGTGCTTTCACAAATGCCCTAAAGATTTTCATCCACATTAAGACAGCTGCTGAGTTACCCAGTAACAGGTATGGGGAATAGGTAATGCTTTATCATACAGTTAGCAAACTGCAAGCATTGATAGGAACCAACTTAAACCTTGCCTGTAATTTTTCGAAATTTGCTTCAGAGCTATGGCAGAGGACTCTTCCCTTTCTTGCAGGGCTCGGGATCCCTCTGCTGGTCAAAGACCGCAAGATGCCTTGAGCGACTACGGTTTTTCCTGGGTGGGACAAAGTCCTCCCAAGAAAAATGTTCTTATCGCATGGGAACCTGCCACCTGAAAGGCCAACGTGGGGCAGCGAGGGCAAACCACCTGAAAAAAAGCAGCCACAAAAAGGCTCTGCAAAGGAGGAAGATCTTCAAGGCAAACATCGGTAGGGCTGTCTGCAAAGAGAACAGACCTTCTCCTGGCAGCCGTGCACATGACAGCGTCTGAAATAAAAATATTAAATAAAAAAAAAAAAAAAAAGAGCTGAGTGAACTGCACTCCTCTGCCATCAACGCCTAAAGGAAGCTCCCGTGCAGGAAACACTGTATGAGAATTAAGTATCTGATAAAGGCCTAATTAAGTTCCCGTGTCTCTGAGCTGGGCAAACGTGTTCTGACTTCTCCAGAGCTGGTGCCAAACCTCAAGGAGAAGGAGACTCGAGAGCTTCTTGTTCACATCTCTTTCTTATGCTGCCTTGCCAATGGCGTGGCCATCATCTTCTCTATCTACCTGACTTCTTAATTGAGCAAGAACTCCGAAAAGTGACCAAGTGATATTCCTCACTGCTGGAAGGACCAGGATATTTAAAGGAACAGTAGATCACCTCTCAGGTAAAGGAAACCCAACAGCAACAAGCTGAGCAATGGCTTACTGACATTTTCCATGGCATTCAAAGAGCTCAGAATTACCACTTGTTTTTTGAAAGCCTGGAGCAAGTAAGAGTCATAGCACTAATGCGCTGAAGTGGAAAACTAGTTCCTGATCATCTGCAAATGGCTGTAAGAGGAAAGGGTTTAGCACTCACACAGTTATCACCTATGCCTTATCCCTTAGTTAAGAGGGAAAGCACAGTTTGTACAAAGTCTTCTCTGCCAGAGGTTTTCTGAGAAAAACCTTCTGATCTTTTTGGAGATTCAAAATAAACCATGAATTACTCCAGTTTTCCACCTGTCCCTCTCTCTTCTGATGGAGATGCTGACTGCAGGTCTCCCCATGATGTTCAACATCGTACTGGGAATTAAGAGACTCTGTGGGGGACAGGTTTCCTAAATCAAGCAAGCGCTTCTGAAACCCACCTGTCAACCACCAAAGGCAAGAAACCTTGGAGCACCTCAAGCTCCTTTATGCCAATGTGTGGCTGGGAATACAGTGACTTTGCCAGATCCCAGACTTCAGTCAGATCTTACCGATAACTACAATGAAACAGCTCTTTGTTCAAGAGCCGCACATGGAGGCTGGAAGCTCCCGAAGCTCTTAGGGATGCTAGGGTAGAATAAAGGGGCAAAAACCCCAAAGAAGGGATAGGACTCCTGCAAGATGTTGGCACTGATCGTTTCTCCTGCGTCCTCAGCCACAACAAACTTCAAAAGGGGGTCTGCAAACCTTGTGGAGACATCCTATCATGCTAACACTACGCTGCCCGTGCAAAGCACTTGGCACCCACATGACAGCAAACCAGTGCTGTATGCACTACACAAAGGTTGTACAGAAGGGACAGCTGTGGTGTGGTGCTGTTTCTGAACTTATCAACCATATTTGCTTAAAAGTGTCTGGGATATGTCAGGAAAAATCTGTATCTGAGAAGGACAAAGTGCACAGACTCGATCCTGGAGACTCCAAGGCGTGCATGTTACTCAGACTCACACCGCAGCCGTAACAACCGAGCGTTTCATATTTTGAAACGGTAAGTCGTCATCCTCTCAGTATGTGCTGGGACACTTGAGACAGACCCTAACCTGAAAGAATTACTGATTTCAGGGAAAGAAAAGGACAATGAAAGGATGAGTCAAAACAAAAACACAGGGGAAGAAACACAAAGGCTGCTGTCTGAAAACAAATCACTTCTTAAACAAGCTTCCAGGGTACTTTTATAAAACCCTCAAATTGCTCTGCAACGCAGGAGTGAGAAATGTCAGAACAATGGGAAAAAAAGGAAGATGAAGACATGGCTCTGTGAGAAAGCAGGCAGAGAAGGCGTCCTTGCTGCTCTCCCCTACGGAGGGCTCAGCACAGAGGCACCAGCCAAGGGGACCCCATGCTGCCTCCCCGGGGCTGGGAAGGGCAGGAGCCAGCAGCCCCCGAGACACCCCAGTGTCACTGCCCCAACCTGTCACCCCATGCAGCCCAGTGCCAGGGTGTGCCACCAGCCGCCCAGGGAGATGCAGCCCTACAGGCCTCCCAGTCGATCACAGCTAACTGGTTATCAACTCCCCAGCCAGTTTTCCCAAAGACCCTCTAATAAATTAAATTCCCACATGCGTGTATCAGCTTCCTCACACCGATCCTGCCTTTTAAATTACAGGCTGACTACAGTATGGGGCAGCTCTCTCCCAAGCAGCTCCTGCAAGAAAAATCATAAAATTAAAATAATTACTTATCTGCTGCAAACCCTGATCCCCATTCCAAACTGGGAAAACCCAGAGGTGGACACATTCAGCCCCAGGCTGCAGCGTGGTAAGTGTTTCTATTGGGACCATGCCAGCTACACACACAAGGGCCGACAAAAACGGCTTGTGGCTCTACATGAACTAATGTGAAGTGTAACCTGGCCAAAAATAAATTTTATGATTTTTTAAAAAATGTATTTAGTAATTTATAATTCTATAATTTTGATCCATGCTGAGGAAGAAGAGGGCCCCTGCTGCTTTAGCACCCGAAGTGCCTATTTATTTACAGTTGCTTTGTCCTAGCTATGCACAGTTGCGTATGTTGCATACACCTTTGAGTTTAAAGGATGTATTTAGCTCAGCCTTCCTCCTCCAGTAGTTCTTTCCGTAAGAACTGGCTGCGTGGTTATTTCAGGCACTTGTGATTGCCCAGACATTTCACAAGGTCACTTTACAACACTAGAAAAAAACCTAGCTTGATAAATACACACCATTTTTCACAGCTATGAGCTTTCAGAAAGCCAGAAGAGCCGGAGCTGAATCTTTACATACAACACCAACGCAACAAATGATCGAATTGCACATCCATGAGACATGACAAAGTCAAACCCACAACTTACACTGCATTTAACCATAGATTTGCTGATTGCAAGTCAGATTTAATGCCATCTTCTTATGCCATTGAGTAACCCTGAAATGAAAGTTACTTGAAGTGACTCCCCCAGGTTGTCCCCCCCCACATAACACAGTGGTAGGACGTGGTTCCAAACCAGGCTGCTCTAATTTCCCTTTTAGCAAACAACACGTTTGAGCGTTCCCGTATGTCCTTTCATTTTTAGATATTTAGAAATACTCCACGTCCTCTTTATCACAAACTACTACTGATATCACTCCCAAATAGAAAAGGAGTCAGCCTCAAGCTTCCTACAAGGAAAAACAATGCCTGTGCTGTTTTTATAGCATTAAAACTTATTTTATAACCAAAGGAAACTACAACTACATTTAACACTCTCTTCCATTGCAGGTGAAAGAGAAACTTAAAAAAATAAAATCACCTTTTACAGATTTCAAGGTGAAAACTACACAAATGCAGAGCTATGCTATATGAGGTTTTTCTTGCAGCATTACCAAACATGAAGTCAGCCACGGAGGAAACCTGGCTACAAGGAGTGGAATATTTTGTCAAGATGGGAAGACCCATGCTAACTGCTCTGGGGCGCAACCCATTTATGTAAATGGTAACTCCTCTTTCTTTCCAGAGTTTGTTCTCAAACAGATTAACCTTTCTCTGATCCAGTTTTTAAGATTCATTCTTTTGTTTGCCTGCAGGGGCAACAGACTTTTTCTAGTGCCAGATTTGGAATCTGGTTAGTCTTCAGCATTAATTTATTGTAGCTATTTAACTGTCAGCTTAAGGACTGTACAGCTGCATAAATAAAGCTAAAACCTCTTCCAATTCTATTAAAGCTCTGAACAAGGAAAGATGGTAAATCTACGCTTGATCTCAAAAAATCATATTTATTACTATTCCATGCTAAGCTTTAGCCACCATCAAATTTATCACACGTGCATGTAATAAACATGATAAATACAGTATTTGATGAGTGCATATATGCATGGAAAACCATTCTGATAACCAAAAGTTTTGTTAAATCCAGACAGATATGTGGCAGAACCAAAACAAAGTGATTTTTTGAGCAAGTACTAAATTATCTGGTGCAGATGCAATGAATAACCTATCCTGTTTGTTTATGAGGCCTGGAAATGAACACTTCAGGAAGTTCAGATGAGCATTGCTTTATTATTTAATATTTGCTTTATTTATTTTAAAGATTTACTTCATTACATGTAAGAGCTCTGGGCCAACTAGAAGCTCTTCCAGAAGATGTAGCTTACATAAAGTAATGCATCTTACCAAAATTAAGAAAGCCTCTCCTATACACTAATGTGCTTTTGATAAGGCCACATTGATCGGAAATTTTCAAAAGCAAACTTAACAAAATCCTCAGCTAAAAGCCAAGTACTGCTCCAGATGACATTGCATATTTTGGTTAAATGAAGAAATTGTATTCTAAGCTCATTAATTTATCATTGAAAACTTAATGGGTATTTTAAAACATTTGACAAGTTTAAAGATCAGCCCTACAGATCTATTTTATTCAAGGATAAACAATTGGTGCTGTTACCGAGATCTGTGCAAGAAAAACAGTTTGTTTTTCAAACACTTGGAACATTATCCATAATTTAGCGATGAGGAAACAAGGAGGCAATACAGAAACCTTCCTGTTTAACAGCTGAACTACTGCAAGAGACAAACACATAACATAGGTGCTACAACTCCTGCTTCAGTGTTTCACCTACTTCTTCTGCAAAAGCAGGGACCCTGCCACAGGAATGAAAGCAGCAACTAAGCAGCAGGTATCTCACCTACCCAGCAGCAGGGCGTTCACATCTCTGCACCAAGGGAGAGCAGAGCAGTAACCTGCAGTACTGGGACAGCAGCACTGTGGCTCTTACCCAGGTTTAAACTTGAAGATGATCCATGTGAAGATAAGGAAGGTGGTGGAGTCTGAGAGTGGCCAGGTCCTTGGCTGGGCAGAGGCATTCCCACAGGTCCAGGAGAAGAGGAAAACCCAAGGCCATTATAAAAACTGTGTCCTATAGGTGTCAAACTGCTGGATGTCCTCTTGTACAGGTCACTGCTCCCTGTAAGGGAGTCTCGGCGGGAGCCACTGCCCGTGTTGGAGTTAGCAACTGAAACGAGGAAGAGAGTAAAATCGTGTGATGTCCACAAGCTGCCTGAGACAAACGGATAGCTGGAGAGCCGGTACGACGGCACCTATTAACAACTTCATTGCACCAGGCTGTTGTTTTCCTAAGGGTGTTGCATGTGCCCAAACGAAATGCATTAATTAAAACCACGTCGCTAATGATCAAGCAGAAATCCTCGATTTTAAAAATTAGCTTGAATCCTGTCTTTGCATTTATAGTTTTGTAGTTTTTATACCGATAGAACACATCGAGAAATGCAGCTCCAAAAATCTACACGCAGAAAGATCAAGATGATAAAAATCTACCTAAAGGAAGCGACAGAATGAAACGACAGCGAACATGTTGGCTTTTGGAGACAAACGCTTAACGTTTCATTTCTGAACTTTCAGAAGAAGGTTTGTGTACTTCAAAGCTCTTTTCCCCTAAGCATACCACTTAGTTTAACAGAAGATACTAGATCGCCCTACAAGCATTGCCTCATATTTATTCTTTGGCCATTAGAGCTAAAACAAATCCAACATGAGATTTTATCTATTCATGTTTACTTAAGAGCATGTACAGCTTCGTGTACATTTACTTGAAATCCTTGTGCTCACCTTTCATTATATTAGAAAACAGCTCCTGTTTGCACCAAGCTTTATTGAGATGGAAATCAGAATTCAATTTAATACATAAACCCAACATTTTTTTGAAGAGTTGTCTTGATAGTCAAATACAAACTCTTTAAATGCACTGTCAACTTGAGTGAAAAAAATCAATTTTGCATTAAAATCTTGTTTAATAAATAGTGAAATTGTTAACTGTAATGAACTAATCATTTTTCATGACTGCACACAAGTTCTAGAAGCAACAGCCTCATATTTTTATTCATTGATTGAGGTAAAACAATTTTGTGCATCTTGGCATTGAGCAAACTAGTAATTGAATTCAATTTGTTAAATAAACTTAAGTGAAAGCAGCGAATGCTGTGTTTACCTGAATCCGAGATGGTTCAAATTCTCAGGCTGGATTTAAGAAAAATATTTAGAATAACTTTTATTTAAAACTGTGATTTGATAAAGTGACAGTATGTCCCCCAGTTTTTCTAATGGAGCAGGTTCAAAAGGCATGTTTTAACTTGCCCTTCACACTGATGAAAGCAGGAAAGTTCAGGACATAATTACTACCTCTGAGACTAAGCAGTAATTAAAACAATTGTTCTACTTCAAAAAAACAAACCTAAGGAAAAAAAACCCAACCCACAGACGTCTTTCTGGTTTGGTTTTATTCTGAAAAAAATCTTTGTCTCCAACTGCCTAACAAACAAATCAAACCAAACCATGTATGCAACATTTCTTGCAACCACAGTAAGTGACTTTTTTTGGTGTATGACAGAAACAATTCCCAGAATAAAACATGGAAACCACCTCAGATCGGCTTTTTTAAAATCATAAAAAGTTACTTAGCCATTATTCTGAGGTAAGAGTTAGCACATGGATGGATACCACTCCGGAGCCAATTCCTGTTAGTCCAGTATCTCCACCGAGCACATGCAGATAAAGGCAAGGCAATTCAAAGCTGTTTAAAAACTTAATCCGTAGCAACAAGGGGATGACTGATAATGTGTATTACAAAACAAATTAATTACTTTGGTACTTCTAATATATCATCTACTAAAAGAAGTTTCACCAGAAAGCGCTGCAGATTTTGAAAGCCAAAGTAGTCCCTAAAAGAAAATTTCCATTTACCCTCAGATGGATGAAGAGGAGGGCTCAGCAGCTCGGGGCACCAGTGCCAGCTCCAGCGGCTCACAAGCCTATTAGCTGCATTTGGAGCTACCTGCTTCTCCCCTTCTTTCCCATAAAGAAGCTGCTGTTCTTACCTGCTGTCCCAAAGCCTCCCAGCGCAGACCCCAGCGTGGCACCGAGAGAGCTGCTGCTTCCGAACCCCAGGGAAGTGTTGGCAGGCTGGGCAGAGCCCTGAGAAAAGAGCGAGCTGCTCTGGGAATTGCTGCTGAGAGAGTTGTTGCCGTAAAACGAGCTGGATGCCAGGTTGTTGGTGGGCTGCTGCTGGGGCTGGGGTTGGGGCTGCTGAGTTCCTAGAGGGCGAAATGGTCCGTTTGTCGTCCCTGCCAGGCCGCCCGCTGCACCGTTGGCCGAAGCTGCAGCTGCTGCAACCGCTAGAGAGAAAGTAATTGGAAGCACAGACTGAAAATACATTTTCGTAGCAGTTTTGGAAGTTAAAACTTAGCAGGTTCCTTTTATTTACTATAGATTTTTTTCTTTCCTCTCAAGATGAAAATCTCCCTTTCGCATCAAACTCCACATAAAGTCTCTTTACTTTATATCTGAGCTCCACAAGTCTTGCACAGAGCCACTGAATACCAGCAATGCCTAGTTATTATTACTGCTGTTTGTATTATTAGAGCTACATGGATCAAACACGTAAAAATGTTCCCTTTCTCCTAAGATCTAAGATTCAAATCAATACAGCCACACACTTAGCAATATTCAGTTAAGAAACTCAAGTTTTGAAATAAGCAAAATTGTCCTTTAGCGCACAAAACGCAATCCTGCAGTGCTAAGAACATCAAAACCAAGTACTTTTGTTTTTCAGCCAGTTCCAAAGTAAAAGAAAAAGCAAAATAAACATGAGCTACAAGCAAACAATTAAAAGGCCCATTTCATAATCTGTTACTAGCACTGGCAAAGACTGCTTACACACACAAATTCTGGCTGAAAAATTCCTTTTAAGCCTTGAACTCCCAAAGAACCCTAATAAAACCCAAAACAACTCCTGGCAAAGGCCAGGCGTGTAACATTTTACGCAAAGTGATCATTTGGGAGTTCTACACAGGCTAAAACCTTTTATTACGTGGGAAACTAGATGCCAGCAGACAAATTTAAATAACTGTCATGAAACTCTGCAAAATAATAGAGTTTATGCGGCGCTACCTCTCTGAGGCTGTTCTGGAGGCTCAGCCCACCGTGAGCACAGAGGATGTTCTCAACAACAATCCCCGCGACGGATCTCAGTGAGGGCAAGTGTGTCATCATTGCCAGCAGAGCCCAGAGGATTTCAGGTCCACCCTCCGCCGGGGACAGAGCAGATTTTCACTTGCTGGGGACTGGGACTCACCTGCTTGCGCCGCGGAGGAGCTGATGATGACTGGAGCGGGGGCTACCAGACGGACGGGGGCCCCCAGGCCGTTCCTGGCCCCTGCATTCACCACGAGAGCACCTGTTTGGTCGTAGTAAGCAGCAGGAGCCAGCACTGGGTAACCTGAAGAGGCAAATTACAGGTGCACAGGTAAGGTAACAAGCAGCGCAACACATGGCAGATCAATTGTCTTCAGATGAGTACAGTGCAATAGGATTTTTAAAGGAAAATCTGAATGAAAAAAGAAAAAGCAACAACAGCTCTGCTTCTCCTGAAGAAAAAAAAAAAAGAAAAAATCCATATTAACAGTCTAGGACTTTACACTAGTAAGACTCTCAGGTAGAGAAGACTTTTTTTTTTCCCCCCGAACCTACTATACTAGCATTGCCCTCCGTGTAAATTCAGTTATATGGATAAAAAAAGGCCTTAAAATACAAAAGCACTATTTCTTTTCCCTTATAAGTATGACGTGTGCTGGGACTTTTCACATAGGTGAACACGCTGCACTTCCAACTCTCCCACTGTATGCTGAAGTTGTTCAGTGTGTACACACACATGCAAACAAGACATGGAACTCAAAGTTATGTATTTTCGAAGGTATGTATCACAAAGCATTCTTTAATATATATAAATAAAAACTCCTAAATCAAATATGCTGGTGATACACAAAGCAACAGATTTGCAGTAGTCTATAGCTATTTAGGTACCTCGCTATATAATTTTACAGTTAAAACTTTCAGGAAAAAAGTGAAGTCATTCTCCATGGTGGGGTCACAAAGAATATTCTTCATGAGTATTTGCTTTGCAAATATAACCCCCAAAACCACAATAATGCAGATTTAAGGAAATCTGCAGATTACTTGAAAACATGCATGTTACAATTCACTCTGTAACTTAATACAGCAACATTCTTCATAAGCTATAAAAAACCCCCCGTGTAACAACCATGTTACACTTCCAGTGAAGAGACCTGAGGCCAAAATAATCTTGTTCTCTTTGGTTTGACCAGCAGGACATACCTCCACATTATTCAAAAAAATACTTACGTTTGCCCTTTGCAATTACAATAATATTCTGTATAACTGAACGTCAAAAGCATTTCTACCACACAGCCTCATGGATCAGAGCTAAAATTCATACAGGAGCTCTTCTCTTCCAGAATTATAAATTACAATAAAACCCTGCTTCCTTTTATCCGTTTTCTTTTCTGTTTTTAAGCCACTAATGTTTGCCTGGAAGAAATTATAAAGGGGAAGTCCTTATGCTGTTGAAGTCAAGCACCTGGCAAGGATGGAAAGACAAGGCTAATGAATGGGACTAAGAGATCTCTGAGGTTTTAAAATAACGATCTCATAAGCTAGCACAGAAAAATCTGAAAGCAATTTCCAATAGGAGCCATCAATTCTTTACAGTACGCAACTAATGCACCCGTACAGCAATACAGTTGATAACATTTGTTTTCATCTGTGACACAGAGACCTAAACCCTGGTTTAACTTAAATGCTGCATAGGTGGATAGGTTCACATCTAACAGCCTCTTGAAAATGCCTTCTATACCCAAATGCCTTCTATACCCAGATTAAAACCAAAATACTGCTGAATGCCAGGCAAACATGACAACACGCAGAGACAATATAATTTTCTTAGATCTCCCCGGGCACTGGAGAAGTTGCAGATCCCACGGAGCCCCTACCTGGCATCCCTGCCGCCAGCCCTTGTCCAAAAGCAAGGGCAGAATTGACGGCTGCAGCAGCCACCAGCGGATCAGTCTGCTGTCCCTGCTGGTTCTGATTTGGTGTCAAAGGACGCTGACTGGCTCCTCCACGTAGAACCTGGAGAAGACAGAGGAACATCGATCTGTTTATTTTGGGTCCCAGGAGTAAGCCGCAATCACCAGACACTTGCAGGAGCATCAGCAGCGGCCTAGTTGAAGTTCTTGCACACAACGGCAGCTTTGTCACAACTAGCGTGTGACAATCCCTCCCCTTTACTCAGGACAAAGCTGCCTTCGCCACCACAAGCTTTCACGCTACTACCATGGGTAAATGCAGAAGCCCCAATTTAAATAATACATCCCCTCTCAGGCTTACTGAGCATAATCTGGAAGTGCTTCATCATCTGACCTCTTTCATTTCTTGATATACCTTCAATACTCATCCTTTGTTAGAAGTGTTTGCAAGCCATCTGCCCCATCCCAGATAACATTTGGTCTCTGCCACAAAAGCACCGTTGAAAGCCCACTTGAGCAGAAACCTTAAAAAGCCCAACTTAGGAGCTGGGGGCTGATGACATGAGGTGAGATGGGTTTTTCCAAGCCACCAGCCCCCGTAGAAAACAGTGACCCAGTGACATGACACTTACTCATCAGAAATAATGACCAAAGATCACACACCGTCTTTTAAATGTAGCTCTTGTGGTTTAAGCATATGTTGCTCTCAGAAGGGAAGATGGCAAACTGACCTTTCCTGTAATTACCTGTGACAGGCTTTGTTTGCAAAAGCCTTTTACTCAAAGTAGTGATGCAAGAGTCTGCACCCACTAGCGAGGTCAGCTTATTAAAGAACCCATCCTTTGGTACTCAGCATGCCTTGCTGCAAAAAATAACATCGTGTGTGTCACCCGATAACGTTATTAAAAGGAAAAAATGACTTTGTGCACTGAGAGACTGGGAGAGGATCCTGAAGTTAACCGATTTAGACGTGCATCCCAGAGTTTGCTATCGCTGTCAAGGCCTGAATGTGAACTCTTCAGTGTGGGGAGTCTCACAAGTTGCAGCTGCTTGGTAAGCACGCACTGTGCAAGGGCACTGTACAGAATATACACGATAGATGGCAGGCTGCAGGAAATGAAATGTTGGCGGTTTTTATAAATACGCTATTAAGATGTCGTAAACATCACAAATCAACTGTCCATAATCATTGCTCTAGGTTTCCAAAACATTTGCCTCAGCACTTCTTAGAAAAATTTCATCCAAAAAATACACACTGTATTCTCTTACGGATGGAAGGTTTGCATTAAAAACAATACCCACGATCCCCACCCATGCCTGCTTCACAGTTATAAAAGTAATGAAAAATATTGTAAAGGCTACTGATGATTGATATTTTTTATCTTAATAGCCTAAGCCTTTACAGAAGCTCTCTTAGCACACTCCCTCCTTACAGGGAAAGGCTCCCAGTTTGAATGCCAAAGCATAAACGGCTTTAACACACTCTTAATGCCGCTTTACCTGCGTGCACGGGTGTGAGCAGGAAGTCTGTTGAACACGCTCCTGCCTGTGACCTGCCACGTGGGGAGGTTTGATGATTAACTTTGTCAGGAGCAAAGTGTTCTCCTGATCACCGGTCCAGATCATTGGTGTGAAACATCACTGTTTTTATTATCTAAAAAGGCCTTATAATAATACCAAACACTGTTTTTTGCTTTAGTTTTCAAAGCAGAAGCTAATAAATTCAGCTGCCAATTGCCATCTTCTATAATTGCTATCTCAAACACACGAGGACCAGAAAAGGAAGGCTTTGTGCTACTATGAGAAAGGAGCCGCCCCACTTTTCAGTAGGGTAACAAACCCATTTTGTTTCCAAGCAGAAAGTACTGTGGGACAGAGGCTGATAAAACTGTATAAAGCCAACGTCAGGCAAGGACCAGCGCTTAACCAAATACTAGACAAACTAGCTGGGGTTGTGCCGGAGAGCCAGACAGGTAACAGAAGCCCGAGTCCGCTTCTTGACACCCGTCCTACCGGCCCTTCCGAGGTCTGAAAGGAGAAAAGTAGAATATATCCAACCGCGTCCAAGGGGAACGAGAATCAAAACAAGGATGGTGGGATGCCTCCCATCCTTCTGGCATTTAACTTAATTACATAGGTTTAGCAACCATCAGTTTAGTCTGAAAGTTTGGATTGTGTTTTTAAATGCTGATTTAAATAGCACGCTAACAATTTGCACTCCCATACAACTTTATAAAACGTTTAGGATGGCTTTTCGTTATAGTAAAGGAAGAAAATCATTGTTGTCTATTAATTCTTGTACCAGTCTCTCAGGTTCCACCTTCTGCTCCAGTAGTTGCCAGATTTACATTTGTGTTGTCTGCATCAGAGGTACAACTATGATTAAATACCAGACCTTTAAAATGCTTACTTTACCTAACTGAAGTTAGGAAAATTAACCTAGTTAAATTCCAAGTATAGAGGAAAAAAAAACCAAACTCACCAAAAAAAACCAAAACCCAAACAAACCACTGAACAAGAAATTACACAGTGATTCATCGCAAAGATGCGTAAAAATTTTCAACAGAGGAAAAAGTACAGGCTATATAATCCAATCTGCCATCACTGCCAAGGGATTAAGACAGAAGAGGTGGATGGTGCAAACCCCATCAAGCACACATCATTTACAAAGTATGTAAGGAAAAACTTCCGCCTTACCAGCCCCCAGTGTGACCTCTTCATTGTTTTTTTTTAAAAAAGCAAATACCATTTAAACAACAGATACCTTTCTCAATATTCATCTCTAACACACTTAAAGGGGTAACAGCAGATCATATGAAAAAGCTTCACTAACTTCATTAATATTGGCCTTTTAGATGTCAAATTCTCCCAATTTTTGTGCAGACTAAAGCAAAACAACTGCACAGTTCACCTTATAAAAATAGTAAATTCAGTGTTTTCTTTTCGCATTCATCTTTTGTCTCCAAAGTCCTCACACGGATACCAAGTCAATTCATTCTGCTGTTATTTTGACCCCTTTAAACCTAGTCTTCGTCAAAAAAAGCATCCTATCCTGGACAGTACCCTGAAGGTAAGAACACACTTATGGACATTTACTATTTGACACACGTTTTCATCGTCTCCGTGGCCTTCAAGTTGCAGTGATGGGCACAAAACCAGATTGCAAGATGATGATTTCCACTCGCACACCAACGGCATGTGTTTGTTACTGTGTCATGCAGCGGTGTTCACAAACTGATGAGATTATTTGTTTTCCAAAGCATTACCACACAATAATTCCCCACCACAAACGTACATGCGCTATCCTCCACGTGCATGATGCAGAAATGACATTACAGAATGTATAGATGTTTCTCCTCCTTTTTTTAAGAGAGTCTAAGAGAGGCTCTTCTCTTCAATTACAACTGTCAGGAGCAGTGAAAAAAAATCGGGATTCTTCAAAGCTGCTGTGTTCCCTGTAAGTAACTTGACATGCAAAGCATCCTACCCCTTACCTGTTGTTGGCCCTGCTGGGTTTGCTGAGTGGTCTGCTGATTCGCCGAATTAGTTGCAGCGGCAGCTGCGGCGGCTTGCTGCTGGAAGAGGCTGGCAGGATAAACTCCCCAGGGCGTAACTCCATAGTACTGGTGAGGAACAACCGCCGGACCTAAAACGCGAAGGGAATCAGTAAGCTTCTGTAGTGTGACAAGCGTTACACAGCAAACCAGCACCAAAAATACCTGCTCGTCATATTTGGTTTAACAAATCCTATTTCAAGTGATCTGCTTTAAATCCTTTGCAAATACGGAGGGATTCTGGCATTTGTATTAATCATTTTTAAAAAGCTTAGAAGTCAGACCTGAAATTTCATCTTTACTTGCTTTTACCTTATTGGATGAGGTTAAATTCTGCACCAGTGATCCTGTTGAAATTCCATGTTTTTATTGTTGTGCCCTAATTTTATAGCGAAGGACCAAAACTTTATCTCTAACCAAGAGAGAAGGAAACTTGTTTAAACACAGATATACACAAGTCTCTTCCACCTCAGCTGACATTCACAGCTCGATAACATCTATCATTTAGCTCCCCAATAAATTAAAAAAACCTCTTTGCATCTGGATAGCATCAATTCTCAAGTGTTTAAAATGTTATTTTTCTAGCCACTCAGTCCTACTTTGCATTTGCAAACCACCATAAAAGAGGCTTACGATCCTGCATCTTTTCACATTCCTTCCTCCTCCAACTTAAGAAGCTTAAAAAACCCCAAAACCTTGGAGAGCACCAGAAAAAACACAACTTTTGAAGATTCGTTGTATTTTATCAAGTCTCAGGACACCACACACTTAATTTGGCAATAGCAGAATGGCAGCCTTTATCCTTAAATAATCTAGTTAGCATAACGCTGAGGAAGCAGCGAGTACTCTGCGCTGAATGGTGGAGTCCCTCCCACCAAATAACATGTATGTGAATCCAGTAATATTTTTTAATATGTCTGTTCTATATCTTTTGGAAAGGTCAGCAGAAAAGTAGAAGAATTTCCTTTGCTTTTCAAATACATCACCTTTCCCATGGGTTCCTTCCCCACAGTAGGAGTAACTTACGGCATGCTAGTCTTTTTAAGGTAAAGCACCACAGTCGTATTTGACACTGTAGAATAAACAAGTCTTTAGTGAATTTGAACAACACACTTGTTCTTATATGGAGTAAAAAGAGCTTCTATTTTAAGAGAGATGGTTAGCATTTGAGTTCTAACCAAGTCATTTTAGTATTGCTGTTAGTTATGTCTTACAGTAAGACCCTGCAAGAACAAGTGTAACGCATATAAAGACTATAAGCGTTTTCCCCAAGAGACTTAAAAACTATTCCCCCAAAAATGAGGGATGACAGTAAAAATGGAGATGCAAAAAGACACAGCTGAGTGTAAGCTTGGGTATGACAAAGGGGGAAAAATCCAGGAAGTACTTTTTTCTTTTGGTTTTGTTTTTTATACAGTAACATATGTTTGTCTCAAATGAACTACTGCATAATGCAAAAGCAATCCACTGTGCAACAGTCTGGATCTCAGCTGGGATGAACTACTGCTCCCACAATCAATACTGCAGACTGTTGAGATTCAACAACACTTCAAGATATTCATTTCATATTTAATGTGAAATATTAAACTCATATTTCAAAAGTGTAATAGTTACTCTCCTATATTATTTTGTTTTTAACCACTGTACTTTCCCCAAATTTAGGATTTTGTAGCGTCGTTAACACACATGCCCAGCTCTATGTACAGCAAGGAAATGTTACAAGCAGCCTGTTGTCTAACACGAGGCACTTTAGCAATACATGCTGAATAGTCGGATTTGTATCTCACGCTAAAGCTCTGCCACGAAATCCACCCTTGCTGGATTTACTGCCTACCCTCAGTCAGAGAAGGTGACTTGTGTGTCTTACTCAGATTTGTCTTGGAGCAGCAAGCACTTGTTTCTTACCTTCTGACCTGGAAATTCATGAGCAGTGGTAGCTAAAATTAAAAAACCTGCAGAAAATGAATCAGTCACACAATAGTACTGCCTATCTTGACCTAAGTAGCTACAGACACATAGTTAATCGGTGGATTATAACTTGTTTATATTCAGTCAATGCAGATCAGACAGCAACTGCTAGGGTGCTTCTGCACTCAACAGGAAAATAGTTGCAACTGCTCCGTTTTATGCAAGTAATTAGTCTGCGTTTGCCCTTAGGCTATTGGGAAATTGCTGCAATACCCTTTATCTGGGCAAAATGTGGGCATCTCTCTGGGTTATTTTAATCTCAGTTCTAATTATCAAACAAGCATAGTCTAGATGGGGCTTTTTTCCTAGTTAGAGGTTGCTCATCAGATCTGCAAAAGCCTTAGGTGTTTAAAAGAAGAAGAGACACAGTCTTTGAAGTTTGCAGGCATCTGGGCTTAAAAGAGCTGCAAGTCTGGCTCAGCTCATTTGAGCACATGGTGAGGCTCATTATTGAACAGTGTTCTCAGTGAGGGCAAGTGTGTCATCATTGCCAGACTTATAAAAACACACAGAGTGTTTCTTTACTTCAGGAGATACTGCACCTGCTTTTACACCTATTAAAGATACACATACATGAGAAAATAAAAGCCATTCTAGTGCCCTTGAAATCAAATATTCCCACTACCACGTCTCACACATTGGCCACAGATACCCACAAATATTCCTTTCAAGAAACATTAGCAAAATCATCTGTAAGTGTGTTCATAACAAAATTTTTGCTTTTCATCTCAGCCTTCACACTCAAATCTCTATAAGCAGAAGCCATACCTGCTCTCTGCAGGAACAGCCAGCCCCCTCTTGCCTAGGATAAGGACTTAGTGACCACCAGCTTAAAGAGCCTCAAGAATCTCACGTCTGAAAATGCAAGGCTGCAAATAGCAACTTTATCAAATACTATCGACTTGTGAGCTGATCACTTCACAATTCCCAGTACGGCAACCGCAAATATCCATGAAGTAGTGTCTTTTTAGGGATGGGGGTGAGAAACGGCTGAACTCAAACGGCTCTGGTGCAGCCCCATGCAAACCCTGCCGTACAGCGCCGGGGGCCAGCACAGACCCAAAAGGAGGAGAGGCACCCTTGCGTGACACCGAGCCCAAGGCAGCTGGGGAAGAGCCTGCTGCACGTGCTCCCCCAAACCCCAGTCCTAGGCGGTATGCGCACGCATCCATACCTGTCTCCAGCTCTGAGCTGGCTCTGCATGGGACACAGGTCAGCACCAAGTGAATGAGGCTTCTAAGAAACCCAAGCTTGAGAAGCACAGTGCAGACACACATCCAAACCAACTCTACCTTCAGTCTAGGAGCACTGTGTTTTTCCTGTATGCAGATTATTCCAGCATCCACTTCTCTACAAAGAACAGAAACACTTTTGTACCTGTAACATACCACCTCAGAGGGAATCAACATTTCCCAACTTGTCTTACAAAAGGCAAGATTTCTTTTTGTTGAGTGACATCTTTCTCAAATGATAGGAGGCAATTTCACAACACTTTTTAAAGACAGCAGTATCTTCCCCACAGTTTAAACTCACAAGTGATTTTTTTCTTGAGTCTAGGAAGCCCTTCCCTCTGCATTCAAATTTGTTCTTTAAAATGCTACTATTGTTGGGAAAAAAAGAGTATTATCACAGGGCTGACAGTCTTACAATCATGAAAAAGTTGCCATAACAGCAGAATCTTAATTGACAGAATTATCTCCGCCATAAAACACATAAGTTTCCCCTCCGCTCTAAGAATGTCTGTGAGCAATAAACTACCAACAACTCTAAACTTATTTCTTCCATCTCATAAACTTCTCCAAGTCCTCCCAATTTAACACTCCCATGCGCATCAGGGAGGCCTTCTGTCTTTATACATAACTCTAAACCTCTAAATTGCCCCACGCCCCGTCAGTGCTGCACTCAGTCATTACAGAGAAAAGGCTTTCAAAACTGCTTGAGTCTAGACAGAAAAGATCCTTTTCCTGAAAAAAACATCAACAAGGAGGGAAGTTTGTTGTATCGCCATTTCTAGCTGTTGTGGACCAAAGCCCAACGAGATGGATGAAGTAACTTCTATTTCTCAGTGGTGTAACACTAAGTAGATTGCAGCACATTACACATTCTTTTGTTTTGCTTTCAAGAGTCACAAAGTTTAAAAATTATTCAAGTAGAGATCCTGATGCCAAGTTTTGGGATGCTTTAGGTATCCTGGGGTATGTTATTTCCTAGTTCAAATTTATAAGGCCCCAATCAGATATTCAAGCAGCTCCAGCTTCAATACTGCTGAGAAAAAGGAAAAAAAAAAAGTTGTCGCAAACACACTTGCTGTTTTCTAGAAATCTGGCAGCAGTTACATGTGGTCTTTCTATGAAATCAAGATGCTGACCTCCTGCTCCACTGAACTTCAGTGTGTAACCACAGAACGAGCACTAGCTTTAGAAGCACCGAGGTGACGCAAAAAGGCCAACCAGAATTTTCTTTTTATAGTATTCGCTTACAAAGCGCCTCTTCTGACCGTAACTGGAATTGCTAGTGCTTTAGCACCTCTTCCCCACTAAATCCTGACTGAAGCTTCCTACTTATATTTGCCACCAACAGTTCAGATCATTCATTCACTGCCACACATTCATCATCACATGATAGTTTATCGACTCCTGGACTATTAGAAATATCCTTGTACTCTAGCTCTTGGCTTTCTTCCATTTAATCACAGCATCATTTGTTTGCCAACAACATGTTGTTACCTAAACTTAATCTTGCACTGTTATTATGCAATCAGCATACAAAATTAACAGCAGCCAAAAAGTCCAAAGCCCACATCTTCAAATTATAATCTTGATTCTTTACATACTTCTATACGATCCATTAGAAATGCCATCCAACTGGGTAACAGTCGCTGAAATCCCATTTCAGAGCTTGACCTGATACTGGCCTCAAAGCTTAAAAGCTAAACAGAGGTTACGTAAGAGCTGTTAAACACGCCGAAAAGTCACGTACCAAACCACAACGCTGTTTGGCAGAGCGCTATATTCACGTACAACCAACGTTCAATGGTTTTGATTTGACACAAGCTATCCCACAGTGGAAGAGATTTGCAGCGAGTATACCAGTTGTAAATGGAGCGTGGCAACAGCATACAGGCTCCGCCACTTTGAACTAAGCAGTTTTCATTTAAAATGTAGAAGGCTTCCTTCCCAGTGACTCAGGGAAAGAAAAACATGATTATAAAAATGTTTTTCTGAAAGCACATTATTCCTTTGTCCTCAATGCTTAGGCAAGAACTTTATGGCATACGCAGCAAAAGTTCAATGTACGATGTGTTCTTCACACTGCCTGATAAGCTGTTTTACCGAGCTGTCATCCCAAGATACAACAATTTTGGCTATGACAGTTGGCAAGAATTTGGAAACTGATATACGAACGTTTGGGAGAAAGATCTTGCACAAAGACAAGAGCCACCATCTTTGCTTGCCATCTGGAAAACTACATATTCATAGTATAAGCCTCACAGCAGATATAGGATGTTTTTACCTAGAGAACCTAAAAAGCATAAATTCTTAACAGACTTCAGCAAAAGGGAAAGATAACATTTGCAGGATACACTACAGTAAATCAAGCTAAACAGCAACGAGATACAACTTTCCTGGCAGGAAAACACATCCTCCATCTTTCTAGCATTTAATAAGTATATTTTCAAAGGTATCTCTCACTACTGTCAGTTACCAAAAAACCCCAAACATGTAGCAACATTTATGTCTGCAAGTGTTTCATTTCAGATTTGCTCTGGCTGTTTATCCTCAACAGAAAGAGAGCCCATAACAAGTGTTATACAAGAATCATCACATTTAATCTACAGAAAATAGGCTTTCCAAGACAAATTCTGTTTCATCTCACTGATATACAATTATGTCTCCACAGAAATTACAACGTACTAATATTCAATTTCCACAATCACAGACTCAAGAGTAGTTTTGGTACTGAAAATGGTCTCGAATACACAGACAACTGGAATCATCTCACCTAATGTCGCAGCTGCTGCAAGTCCGGCTGCATACGGATCTGTTCCCGGTGGAGCGGCACTGATGATGTACGGATTGGGGACAAAGGCAGCAGGAGCTAAACCTGCTGAAAACATACCTGTCAGTAAAAACAAACTTAACTAGAACTGAAGCCCTACCAAAATACCTCTGGCTACCTAGCTGGCAAACACAAAAGCTCACGTTGCTTTAGTATTTTCAAGCTTTTTACAGGTTGTTTTCTATAGGGAGTGAGCAACCACTGCTTTTCCCAGAGTCTTCACAGAACAATCTGCAGAGGGTATAATTTACATGGAAGAAACCTAACTCCAAGGATGCAATGCCCCATAAGGAAAGCTGAAGTGGTAGAATACTCTATATACAATACCCATACTTGCTCAGGTATCTCTGCAGTGGAGACACACCCTTACTGTTTAGGTGATTATTAACACCAACCAGATATTAACGTTATCTAATTGTTTGTTACTATTCTGTATTTTCTATAGCAAGTTGATCAAGAACTGATTTACCCTACTTTCTGAGTTCCATGCCTACTACACAATACCAGTACTTCAATTAATTAGTTTGGAAGGCGCTCAGGAGTGTACAGGCAACATCGCAGGGCACTATCGCTGCCATGTAGGCATTACCTTCCTCTGCAAGGAAACAGTTTAATCATTAGAGAAATTACCGGTGGGCGGGAGGGGGGCGTGGAGGGGAGGTGAAGGTGAAGGGGAGTAAGTTAAAAAGCTAAATAATTTTAATTCAGGTCTATCCCTGAACTCCAATAAGCATACAAATACACTGCACAGAGCTGGGAGAGTCCCAACACACTTGTATTGGGCTTTCGGGCAAGAACAACCACCACTTAAATTGCTTATTGTGCTAAAAACATTTAACCCTAAGATAGTTTAACTCCAATCATCCATGAGTAGCCCTTCTATAGTCCTCCTGTTTTGCTATGCACGGGATTAAGTGCTTTCTTTGCAGTTAATCTATACTGTTTCAATAATATAAATCATGTGTTTGCATAAATTACATCTTTAACTTAAAGTCAAACCCCAGGCAGCTGAACCACAGGAAGTACATTCAGGTGTATATGGAATTGCGCATTTTTCCCTCGCTTCGCTGGGCCGCTCACCCCAATTCATGCCTCACTCAGAGCAAGCAAGTACTTCAAAACGCTCTCATTACTGAACAGCACTCTCAGCAAGGGTAAGAGTGTCATTCCTGCCAGACATGAATGCTCTAGAGCTTTTAAAGTGCGCAAGAGATACCTCCAGAATTTTTCAAGTAAATCTTCAAACAATATACTTCTGCTTGCCTGTCGATTACCAGTTACAAAAACATATTTAGGATTCTCTAAAACTTACCAATCCTTTTTCCCTACTATTTTCCCAACATATTCTGAGGACTAACAGAAGTCCAGTAAAATGTAATGTATTAAATGCAAGACTTACCTATGTGAGGCTGATGGGCAGCTGCCAACGCGTACTGCTGCTGCTGCGCTGCTGTTAGTTGTTGAACAGCAAGTGCATTCGGTCTTTGGAACAACTAAAGGGACAAAAGCACAAATATAGTCCTTTACTCACGCACAAAAAGCATTCTCTTATTTCCTTTTAAAGCAATTCCTTTACACTAGATTTATTTTCACTACTACAGACACTCCTCTCTAAAGGGAAACATTTCAAAAGGAACTGAAAAAAACCAAACCCCTTTGAAATCAATTGCCCGTGATAATCCACCTGAAAAAAAAAAATGTATTTCTGAAATACAGCTAAACCACAGCCAAGGTTTTCTCTGCTGTCCTCTGCACAACGCCTGAAAGCCATTTTTTTCCCCCCAACTCCTCCTCAAACACACAGCCCCGAACCGCAGCCTGTGGATCACTAGTAGCTGCCATGAGCACTTCCAGACCTTGAACAACACTGAGTACAGTGAAACCGCAGTTACACCAGTAGACAACCCGTGCAACTCTCCCAGACGGTCTGAAGCGGCAAGCGGCACGGCAGGCGGACTGCAGAGCGAGGTGTGGGAGAGATGATACACTTGAGATGGCTTCAGAGCCAGCTGAAGAGCCGTCAGATGGGATGCCAGCCTCAGGAGCTCACGAACCCCTGGACAAAATGCTTCCTTTACCTGCCAGCCTTCCATCTCCAGCATCTCCTACGTGAATCCAGGCAAGGAGAGTAAATTCTTCTTTGATCACAGACAGAAACCAGACCTGGGACTTCTTGGTTAAGTCATCCAAAGTATATATAAGTTTGCCAGCTTATAGCTTACTAGAATCTTAGGGAGCAATGGGCAGTGTTATCGAGAACAGTCGTTCTCAGTAAGGAAAAAAGAGAGGATTACATTAGCCTTTAAAGAAAAAGTATTTTTGCTTAGGGTTTCTTTTTTTTCATTCATCCAAGTCCTTACACTAGGCTTACTTCCCCATCTTCCTTTGCCAGAGTAGATGCCTCTACCCAAGTGAAACATTCCCTGAACCAATCCATTAGCAGACCATCGCTCAGCTCTAATTAAAACATTTAAGAATACACAAGCTGAATAGCCACTCTGAAACTATCCAGAAGCAGTGTTCATCCCCACTTACTTCCAAAAGTGATCATTTCTGAGGTGTGAATGACTTCACAAACCGCTGTGATAAATGTTTTCTCTCTCCACTCACTTGGAAAAAAATAGGCCTAAATGCTATACAATTTTCACATCTATTATCTCTGCCCTCCTTTCAGACAAGACAAGTGAGCTACTTCAGCTGTCAGAAGCAGAAATAATAATTCTGCCCAAATTTTTGGCAGAAACTTACAACCTTCAAGAAGCAGCACAGAATCATTTAGAAAATTAGGGTTGTTTTTTTTTTAAAAGACAAAAATTGGAGTTGGTTCTCCTGAGAGCGGGATGAGCAACTGCACTGTTTAGGCAGAAAATCTGAAAGATAGGTGAGGAATAAGAAACAGAGTGGCTGGGCAGAGTCCTTTCATCTGCTCAAGAAAGTCACCGAGAGTATGTCTGCATCCTCAAGTCAAAGAAACCTAAAGACTTAGCTCCAACTTAGTGACGCTTACTTCCTCAGACAATATTCTTGAGCATCTTTAAAACCACATGCAAACGTTCTGCATTCACACTGTGTTGCAAGCATGAGGAAGGGCTGGATTCCTTCCACCTGCAGCAGACCTCCTCTCAAATCTTTACGGAGTTTCCCTCCCAAAGGAAGGTCAGATCAATGTTGGTATCTAAGCCATGCACTCGGGCAGTGACTCAAATCAGCGACCTCTCCCTCCGCCCGCTTTAAATTGCAGTTTCTGCAAGCCTGCAAACCCAGACTCCAGACTCGGCTTACCCGGAAGAAACTCAGTGTGAACAGCTAAAACTTTTTGCAGCTGCAGATTTCATACTGCCTGTAGCATACACAAGGAAGCGGAGCCAACGAAAACGATCACAGTTTCAGGCTTTACTTAGCCAGATAAGCCCCTACACCACATGAGCTCTGGGAATCATCAACTCTACGTATTTCGGAAGGGTTATTAAAGCCTCAATGCACTGTCCCCGTTTGCTGACAGCAGAGACCTGTATTCCAAAAAACAAACAGCAAAAAGTAAAAACCCCAAAACCAGCTTTTCGTCATCTCATTTGAAAACCAACTGGATATGATACTAAGGTTAAACTACGTATCAGTATTAAATTGTGATCTCCACTATCCGCAAAAAGGAAAAGAAACCTCTTCTAACAGAAGTATTAACTGGAATTTACAAAGTGAGGCTGAAGTTACAAAAATGTACGCACGGAGCATTTTAGCCTATTAGAAATCACATTCAGAGTGAAAACCTACAAACTACTGACAGTTTCGGAGGAGTTCAGTAAGATCACCCGACATTTCAAAAAGCGAGGCTATTTTCCTCTCTCACACGTGTACACAAGTGAAGTATCATTTACAACACGTGGGGGAGTTCATCGAGGGAATTCCAAGAAACCAGAACATCGCAGTCTGTATTATACAATTACGGGAACATTGTAAGATTAGATTTCTGTAAGCTAGTTTCTTCTGCAATATAAACATCTGACATCCCTAATCACATCACACGTGGTTAAGACCTCCCCTTCTTAACATTGCTTTTAGCTGTACTTGCTTGTAATCCCTTCAAAGTATATGAAGCTTCCCAACGGACCGAGAAAGACACTTTTACAGATGAGATCCTTTTGTTCAGGACGTATTTCCTTCTGACAACTGAATGGAAGAGACTATACTGCCAAAAGACAGACTTCTTTCATACAGGCTATAACTGGCAGACAGCGAATACCAAGAAGCACTGGCCGCTGGATATCATATATTAAAAAAATGGGCACAACTCCGAGACAAGATACATTGCATTTACACAAATGTGCACTGAGAGGTCACACTTGGCAGAAGAGTGAATCCTTATCTTTAATACAGCACTTATGCTTACAAAAGCCTGTCGTTTGCATTTACTGTAGGTGTAAGCAGCTATTGCAACAAAGCTGAAACTAAAATAACAGTCCTTATTAAACAGCCTGGCCTGCTTATTCTCAGCATGACCTGGGTGGGAGCGAAGCATGCCAGAGCGAGCGGGTGGGCAGGCAGCTGTGTGCACAGCGCCAGGACCTCCCGCTCCCCACCAAAATTCACAGTTCAGAGAGTCGAGAGAGAACTGCAGCCTCGCAGGCAAGCCAGCAGAAAGTTTTAAGCATGATTACATGGAGATGACAACAGTTCTATGTGGATATTACCCATCCACTTCATACAAAGAAGAAAAACCCAGGCCTATCTACAGGGCCGTCCAGAGCCAGAGCCAGAACGCCGTGCTGCAATCACTTCTGAAATCAGCACACTTTCCAGGTCGGCCTTACTTCAAGAGTTTTTATTTTCACTAGCTAGGAAGAAGACGTGCCAAATTTTAAATCCTATTTTTAAAGGCCAGAAGAAATAAATGAAAACTACTTTAACTTGTAAATGAGCCTTAATTTAAATAAAATACACTAACAGACAAAATACAAATTACAGGCTCCACATTCCTGCAGTTATTTTCCCATATCTAAAGGTTCTTTAAAAAGCAGTTCAATTATTTAGCTCTAACATACCGTTTTAAAAAAATACACACATTTCGTTGTTTGAAAGTAATTCTTGCATTCAAGGTCCTACACCAGAGTAAGACAAAGACTTGAAACTAGCTTTTTTTTTTTCCCCCCTTTTTGAACTATACAGCAGCTATTTAGTTTAATCATTAAAAAATTTTCCATCATTAACCTCCCAAACATGCTATATAATAAAACAACCGATTAAGCTACAACACAGATATTTACATTGCTTTTAAGACAGTGATAACTCTCTGAAGGTGGGCCTTTAGCACAAACTTGGCAACGGCCTTTCCTCAATACAGACTGCCAGCAGGCTTTTTTGCTAAAAAAGATCAGATATTTCAGGAAACCCAGGACTAGTTACATACTCTTGCAATCAGCTACAACAAAGGATTTTATTCTTCTTTGAGGGATATCATAGTTACAAAGGAAGGCAATAAAAGTTTACAATCGTTACCCAAACTAGCAGGAACAGGAGTGTATTACGAGTCGATCGTTGGATCTAAGCCCAGCATTCAAGAGAAGCCAACAGCAAAGCAAGGACTTGCGTTACTTGTCCGGGATGAGAAGCTTGGGCAGCTTGTGTGGGAGAAAAGGTCAAACAAACCCGCCGGGCTGAGATAAAGTTTTGTAGTATTGGACTCTGACCTCAGGTTTTTAAACCATGCTCAGGTAGGAGCAAGCCAGTTTAAACTCATTATTCCTTCAGCCTGCTCGGGTTCGGTACTGCAGAGATCCCAAAGCAGGGCTGCAACACCAAGGCTCAGCAGTCGTTTGACCTTTAAGAGCTCGAGGGCGGGTTGTTTTTTTGTTTAGCAGTTTTTTACCAGTTAAAAGCTCTTCTCCAATGCAAACTTACTCAAGCTAAAAATGATTAATATGCAGAAACGTGCTGTTGATAACTGCTGTTTGTTACAAGTCCTTAAGACTGCTGTTCAGATGGCCTTGTTAAGTAGATCTCCTGCATCGAGCTCCCGAGGAGGGCACACGCAGCACTCTACAGATGGCATAGAGATGATGAAACCATTCCAAGTCTTCCTCCGTCCCTCTCCCCAAGACAAGAGCCTGAGCTCATGCTAACCCCATGATGACTCTCCTGGAGGAACTGGAGTGGTAGGACAGGACCGACGGCCAACACTTTACCTGCTGTTGGGAGTTGTAATCGAAGAGCCCCACGGTGGCTGCGGCCGAGTCCACAGGTACTTGGGTGCCAGAATAATCAAACTGAAGAGGTTCCATGCCAACATGCTCCATGGGATCCAGAGGGACACTCTGGGACTCGATGTTGGAGAAATCTTCCACTGGCTTGGCACCATTAGTACTCGCCAGCTGGGCTAAGCCCTCTGATCCATTCTGGTTTGGACCCAGAAGATCTACTTCACTAGCAGAGTTCTGGCAATTACCAGGTGTACGGCTATGCAGAAAGAAAAGATACTCAGCATTAAATGGACGTGCCTAGTGACATGTCACACAGCATTGATTAACAGCAACAGACACTAGTACTCACCAGAACTGCTTGTAGATGTTGTGATAAAGGGGAAAAAAAATAAAAGGAGGGCCTGAAATAGTTCCCTAAATGAATTCTACAAAACAACTTATGTATTTAAAAAAAAAAACAAAAAAAAAACCAAAAAACCACACCACCAAACACAAAACCCACCCACAAAACCCCCAGTCCCCCTGCCTCAAAGACCTGTTACAGTACAAGTGTAAAAAAATTCAGTGTCTTTTTTCTCCTCAATTGAGAGAGTCAGTCATAACAAGACAGGATTTCAGAAATGCCAAAGTTATTTCTTCATAAAGCTATTAGGTAATTATTAACCATGTAACGCTCTGGCACTGTATCTCACTTGAAACCTTTCTAAAGTAGCTGCCATGGTTTCCCAATTACCTAACATAAGCACTGGACTCAAGTAGGAAATGGTTCATCTCCATGCAAGGGCCAGCAGCATGCGCCTCACAGCACATTTGTTTTGCTTTTACAGTTTTCCTACATGTCAACACAAGGCACAGCAGGCAGGTAAGCTAGCAAGAAATACAAATGCATTGATTACATCAATAGCCACCATTTCAGAAGGCTTTAACCTCTTGAGAGCTACAAGTAACAAGACCAAAACCCCGACTATAATTTAGACTAGTATATAAGCAGAGTCAACATCTTGAGTAGGTATTTCCATAGGAATCCCACACAGAGTAATTAAAAACAGGTGTGAAAATAAAACAAGATTAAATAACATTTTTTGTTATCCTCCACCTTCTCACAGTGCTTCCCTGCGCACATTATAACATCCTTCTGACCCTGTTTCAATGAGTCAAAGGCTTTTTCACCACAGCATGGAAAAAATGTTAAGTGTGACACTGATTAGTTATTAACTAATGGTGCACGTACCTGAAGTCTTTGACATCTGCGTCGATTCCATTCTGCACAGGCAAACCATTTGTTTTATCCATCACATCCCCCTCCTCCTTCAGATCTCCTAATTTATCGCCATCAAATGTGCCCTTATTTTTCTTATCCCCTTTGTCATTCTCATCATTCTCTGCATCCCTTGGCCCCTAGGCAAAAGAGACATTATTTTAATAAGCTTAGTTTTCAGTTCAATTTTACTTTTATTCCAAGATGGTAATAAATCAAAGACACACGTCACAATAAAGTAAGTCACTTGCAAACATTAATTCTTACAAATAAAAATGTAAAAAAGCAAAATAGTCAATCATAATCGAAGAAATAAGGGAATTAGTTCTTACTCTTCCAAGAGAAGTTTTATCCATCTATTCAGTTTCTTCCATTTAGTAATTCAGGGTCTGCTTCTATAGGCTCTAAAAATCCCACCCCAAAATAATTTTAAAGAATACTTATCCAAATCCTCTTTCTAGATGAGACTTAGGCACTTCAAAATTAACTCAGGAACTTTGAAAAACGACAGCAGGTACCGAAGGAGCATAAACTGAATTAGTGCCCCTCCAAAAGTCACTGTGTCCGTGTCAGAGATGCAATAATTGACTGGATAAGTGCAAATATTTGAGCAGAACAGGATCACCTTGTTTTTGAGGGGCATTACTGTGATTTGCACAGTGAATTCCAAGGTATGGCTCATTTAAGAGCACTCAAGTCAATCACTAGCTCAATCACTGGTTCATGTAATCCTAAAGCACATTTGGGGGGGGCGGGGGGAGAGAGATTTCTGTTCTGTTGAGCATTTTATGAGTGGTATTACATCTGCAGCATTTCTGCCCTTAACGTCTGCATTTTATTTCACTTGGGAGAAGAATAAAGGGTGATTATGCCAGGGGTAGAGTTTTGAACAACAAAAGGGAGAGGAAAAACAACATAATTTATGATAAAAAACAGCAAGGGGCATATAAACATATTTATCAGAGGCAGCTTTGGTGCTGTCAGACAGACAGACATTCAAACCCTGTCTTCCACTCCATTTGAGGGAAAATTACTATGTACATAACAGGGCATTTGAACCCTGTATCAACTAAATCATTTTTCCATTCTCTCTAATTGGAGGGGGGGATTTCCCCCCGCCCCCATATTTAGAAAAAAAGATTGTTTTAAAAGTGATCATCTTCTGGTGCTGCTTCTTAAAGAAAATAAAATCGTGCTTCCTTAATATTAAAGAGCAGACTTGGAAGTGCCAATTGTAAATACAAATTTGGAGCCCGATTCTCACCCAACACAATGTGATATTCACCAGTGAGACCCTTCATTTCAGAATTGGCATCCTGACTATCAATGCTGTGGAGCAGACACCTCTCTAAGCCCCAATTCGGATGACAAATTGGCTCCTTCCACTGATTGTTTATGTCTCAAAAATAATCTTTCTTAGGCTCAGGGTTCAACAAGGTTATCAGGTGCCCACTAATGAGGGACAAAAATAAGAGAATGGATGAAAGAAACCAGAAATCAGCTCCCTGAAGAGATGAGCACAGGAGTCTAACAGTAACAAACCTACTCCGCTTTTATGTTTTTCGGCAATTCCTGATCTAGCACTTGGCCAAGGAGGTAGAGCTGAGATGCAGCCCCTTTCTCCCAACAACAGGGATGGGGCTTGACTATGCCTCTCTCACCACATCCTTAGATTCGAGGCAGCAGCAACTGTGCTCCCTTCCGCACCCCACGAAACACAGTGACCAATGCCATTTCTCCATAGGAAACGACATGCCCTGGAAAGCATTCCCCAGCTAGAGTGGCTTTTGTAGCTACATTACGTTTCTAGCATCATTACATGGAGCTTTTTGTTCTTAGCCAGCAACAAAGCAGCCACACGCTCATTCAAAAACCACAGGTATATTTGCATACTTCTACAATGATAAGCTTAGCTGGGGTGTTATTGCCGGTGTGCTTATCCGAAGAACCAGGGAATATCAGCAACCTCCAGATCCTTTACAACCATCTCCCATACTGCATCCCCTAAGTCAAGAACAACAGTGAAACTGCTAGCCAACCCGTTTTAAGAAAGATAGCTAAACTAGGAGCAAATAAAAGAAACATCTGCCTTTAAGAATGGATTAACAAACAAACAAACCAAGCAGCAAATGGAGAAAATAACATAATGGGAACTCAAATGTCAGAATCAGGCACACTTACAAATCCTCCTTTCCTTAGGCAGGAATCTCCAGGAGATGAGCTCAACACATACTCCACCATGCTAACTCCAAGTCCTCCACTCTCTGACCGTGGTGAAAGCACTGAGTTGACTTCACTATTCACATGAAAGCCCTGACCAGGTCTTCTCTGAACCATAATTGGTTGGGAAACAGAGTGATCTGGAACAAAAACATGTGTAATTCTTATAAGTAGATCCAACTATTCAAAGGAGGCAAGTCATTAAATACGTACTCTCTAGTGTCTTAATAGTACTAAGAAGTACCAACTTTTTGACTCTGGTGATGTCCGTTAGAAAAAGCAGGATGGCTTTCTCATTTTTTAAATACTAGAACCTGTAAACCTACAAGGAATAACTACATTTAAAGTCTAAAATAATAACATTTCAGAAATTTAAGTCTCTAAGTAAAAGTTGCAATTAAAGAAACAAAGTTCTAGTTTTTAGTTTTACTAAAACTCTTGCATAAGTACAGTGAAAAAACAATCAGTCTTGGTTTGTCATTTAAAACATCATCCTACCATTACACCAGCCTACATTTGTTTTCTTGGTCATGTGAACTGCCGTATTCATGTCATGATCAGAGCTTCCCTTAGCTATTTCCTCAAAAAGTTTATGAGAGCTTCATTTCTTCTTCCTCATCCCCTGTCCTCCTGCATCCGCTCCATCCCTTTATCCCCTCTGCAGCATGAGGGTTTGAGATCCAACCAGAACAGAGTAAGGACAGATGTCTCCACGTCCTAACGAGCTCTGCAAAAATTGCTGGCTGGGCAGCAGAAGGTGGCCTTACATCCCCAACGAGGGAAGGGAAGAAGTACTCTGCTCCTGCCTGCTCAGACTGGCGATAGTCAGCGAGTCAGTAACAGGCAGCAGACAAGAGTAAGTTGCCAGGGGATGGCGGAAGGGCCATGCAATGATATCAATACTGTAGTTTCCTTATAAAGCAGGCATAAGCTGCCAAGAGAAGCAATTCTGTTCTACCATTGTTCCCACCTATGCTTTCCTGCCTTCTCGCTCAAGCCAGCACAAGAATCTATGGGGCCACAAAGTGAAGTGGACTAGGGAGACTTTTTCAGGATAAAGTTAACAAAGACAAGATAAAAGCTAGTTTTAACCCAGATCAATTCCCCAGCAGGTTTCATCGCGCTGCTGCATAACTACTTGTACCACCAGGAGGGGAAGAAAGGAGTGGCCTGCATCAGACAGGACTGCTTCTTTTAGCAGTACTGGCTTCAAATGCTTTAAAACTACAACTTCAAGGCAGAGTAGTGAAGAACCAAAGCCATATGGGAGGACTGCAGTGCATACTGTGGACACAGACAGAAAGGAAAATGGATGGAGCAAAGGGCATCTTACAGAAAACCAGGCTTCATTAGTTCCACTGTTCATGGAACAAACCAGTCTTCTGGCCAAGGGCACTTCCACACCCCGCCTCCAAGTTGTGCTCCTTTCTCTCGGGCAGCGACCTTGAGCAACTGCTCAGACCACGGCTGTTCTCTTCATTTTAAATGAGCAAAAGGGGAAACTATGACTCCCCTGACTCACAGGCAGCAGTGCAGGCCATGGCTCAGGAATAAAGGCTGTAAGGTGCACAGGATTAATTGAGAATAAACAAAGGAAGAGATGAGACGAAGGGCTTTGACTCATGGAGATTTGTGATCAACCAGCGTAGGAGGTTACCTCCCCCAGATGTCTACCCTGCCTGTCTGGTGGATGTAACCAGCCCAACAACAGAGGCAGCAAAGGAGAAAGTCTCCTTCTCAGCTGTTGCTGCTCAGAATCTGGCTCAGCACTTTAATCACCCTCAACTTCAGTTTGTAACACAACCAGGCACAAACTATTGTTGAGGACTGGATGCAGGCACTGCTATGGAGATCCACTGCGGACAGGCAAGTAAGACAGCTGGAAGCAGCAGCTCCCCAAAATCTCTCCCGTATCCAGCCAGACCGCAAAATTCAGGCGATCAGATTTTGAGAAGCTTTATCCACTTTTCACAGCCATTTTGAAACTTAAATAATAAAAAAATGCCCTTATCACTATCCCAATACCTTCACTCTAATAATGGATATTCTTAGCAGGAAAAAAACCCAGAGAACAGTGAAGTTCCTCTAAATCGCATCTCCCCTGGAGCTGTAGTTCTGGGCAGTTGTTTGGAAACTGCACGAGATACTCAGCAGCATTTAAGGAGCATATTGATTACATACAGAAAGCACAGAAAATAAAAAGTAAAAGGTTAGCATTTCAAATTCAGCACATGCACGTGATTTTTGCCATTTAACTAAAACCAACCTGAACACTCTCCCCTTAAATTCAAAATAAGGGACAGACTCTGATCCAAGAAAAATTCTTGGCAGATAAACCTCAATACTACTAATTCAAAACATCACTTTTTTTTTTTTCTTTTTTAAACTGAATGTTGGGTTTTGGTTGGTTTAGTATTTTAAAAAATTGTGGGGTTGTTTTTGGTTTTTTTTACTAATCTCATTCTCCAGTATCTTTGTTCAAACTTCAAGTAATCCATCCCAAGGCAGAAAATACATCAGAAAGTTTAAATTGAAATTTTAATGGCAATCTAAAATTTTTAAGCAGATAAACATAAGGGTACACACATTCACATTAGACAATCTTTTTATAACTATGGATATCTTTTAACTCTATCACAAAGCAATGTGGGGTTTTCTATTAGTTTTGTATTATGTAAAACAAGTGTTTTTAAAAATCTTTTAAAAGGACTGGCCAGCAATTTTGAGTAGATGAGTTGCACATTTCTGTATTCAACCCCAACTAAATTAAGTAAATAATTGAGCTACCTGATGTTCCCCAAGCACTGTCTCTCCACTGATCTCCCAGAAATATCCCTTTTGGTCCATCTTTGCTGGAATCATCAGATTCCCAAAACTTTTTACCCGGCAACAGCTGCTGCAATTAAAAAAAAAAAACAAAAAACAAAAAACAAAAAACAAAGCATGATTAAAATAATTATAAAATGCAAACATAAACCATAAGCGTCTCCCTTCTAAACATGAATCAATCATTAAACACAAACTGATACATGCTCTATAATCAAAATATTTATAGACTCCTAGGGTGAAAGCCATACAGCAACTGAGATAATGATTCAATCTCAGCAATCCTCTTACATTCTTAAACGCTTTATGAACCCCACACACGTAAGCACACACATACAATTTACATTCTCCAGCCTCTCAGCATGAGAGCTACTTGCAAGAAAAATATTAGCAGAAAAAACTGTTCTGATCAGAACATTATCACAACTTCCACCTGAGCTGTGTGGATACCTCTAAAACTACCCAGCATTTCCAGCCCATATTCTTGCCTTCAAATACTGAGGTTCTGATGCTGGCACGGACAGAATAGCTCAAGAGGTTCCAAGAGCTCTCACTTCTTGCTTATTTAATGACTTCTGAGGACTCTCCATGCTATGAAGGTTATTTGTAAACATTAATAAGAGTGAACAGTTCTGGGCCACCACACCTGCCATGCAGGTATTGTTCCCACCAGATGAAAAGAAAAAGGTTATGCACTCACTGAGAACAAGACAGAAAGTCATCCTTGGCTTGAATGAAACCAAGGAAGATTGCTCTGAAGTTCATAAGATGGCAGAAAGAACAGTGTGCCCTATTTAGCAGATGTATTTTGAAAACACCAGCTTCACCGAGGAAACACCTGCCGCATGGCATCTACATATGGCAAGGGGAATTTCAAGCCCGGCTTAAGTGCCTTAGATGTCAAGCATTCAATCTCCAAATTAAATCTTCAGGCTGAATGAGATATATGCAATTCAGACAGGAAACAACAGTACATTCATAGCAAATTAACAAAATAAATGAGCCTTGCCTGCTGAAGTTGGAATAAAACTAAAGGAACTGGAAGATTAACAAGTACTTGCATCTGTTTGAAATTACCATAGAACAAACAAGAATCATCAGATTAGTCGATGTCTCCTATATATTAGAAGTGTTGATAACTCTATACTCCATCAGCAGACGTGCAAATTTAAGGCTACGGCATAACAGAGTAAATAGGCTGCTGGATGAAGATGAAGCAAACGAAAGATTTACGAGCTCCCAGCTTGCAGTGTCCTCTGGTTTAAGACAGACAATCAGAAAAGTTGTGCTCACCATTTACTTTTTTTAACTTAAGGAAGATCTGTTTACTCAGAAGCATATCACGAAGCAGGTCTGTACGTATGAGATTAAACCCGAGGTTCAGATTTTCAGATTTGGATAATCGGACAGATTACCTTAAGACAGGTATTATAATGAAAGCAACATCAATTTTACCCCACATTGAAAAGCAGAATTCCTTCCAAATTCTTAAAAAAAAAACAAAACAAAAATAACCCAAAAACCAAACCCAAAACCAAACAAAAAAAATCCCACCACAGATAAGAGAGCAATTACATTCAGCTATTTAACTAACACTCAAAGTTGCTTTTGACTAAAAGTAATCCTGCTTTTGCACCGAGATCAGTAGAGAGTAAGATCAATCCTCAACTTAAACACGGCAGTCGCCTACAAGGGAAAAATAAATAAATAAATGCAACCCCTTCGGGAAAAAAGCTTGTACAGGCACAAGATGGAGGGCAGGCACGGCGTCTGAGCGGACCTCAGAGCAGAAGCGCTGCTGCTTCAGGGGCTCTCAGTCAAACCTCAGGCTGTACGCAGACGTGCAAGTTTTACAGCAGCAGAAACAGGCTCCCAGCTCCTCGGCTCGCTGCTGCTGCTGACTGTAAGCCCTGAGCAAGAGCTGGTGTGGGGGCATTTTCCAGCTGAACTGAAACATTTATGCATACACCTGCATATTGTCTATACAAGCACACAGGAATGTAAAACAAAGCAATCCTCAGGTACAGAGGTTGAATCAACATCTCAAACTAACACATGACAGGTCAAATTTTAGGATGACATGTGCCAGTAACAGTCCCCTTGTGCCAGGCACACCAGGAGCTCCCGCACAGAGGTTGCCACTTCTGAACCAGCTGAGATCCTCCTACAAGACTCAAGACACCATGCACGTGTGTGTGTGTGTGTGCGCTGTTTGCTGCCACAGAGCTAAACAATACGTATTTACAGATTCTTGTTGCTCAGTTAAATTGCCGTTTTTCTTTTACTGAAAGTATACACTTGTACAACTTACTTCCCCACCCTAACCTCCTCTTCCAACTCACAATAGCCTTCCTCCTACTAATTCAAAAGCAAAAATCTTCAGATTAGTTTTCAAACTAAGGATGAGATGAGCCCATTCACCTTCTATGCCTGAGCACAATGCAGCGTACTCCAAAGTTCTTCCAAGGTATGTGCACTTCAACCGTACCTGGATGTACAGACTCCAGTACCGGGGCTGTCGCTAGGGCAGGTGAAATAGCTGTACAAAAAGTGTCAGGGACACGCAGGACTTGTGCCCACCCTGCTTCGCAGTATTCATTACAGATGCAGAGTCTAGAATCACAGAATGGTTTGGGTTGGAAGGGCCCTTCAAAGATCATCTAATCCTCACTCCCTGTGATGAGCATGGACATCTTCTGAGCATCTTTCAGGTTGCTCAAAGCCCCATCCAACCTGACCTTGAACACTTCCAATGATGGGGCATCCACAACTTCTCTGGGAAACCTCTTGCCATGTCTCACCACCCTCATTGTAAAGAATTTCTTCCTTGTGTCTAAGAACTCTCCCTTTAGCGCAAGGAAGGAAAAAACTTCCTTT